AAATATTGTCTCATTATCTTATATTATTTTCTTCCCCCCCCCCCCTCGCCCCCATGTTACTCCCTTCCACACTATCCCGCACACCCCGCCCCCACCCTCTAGTAGCTAAGTGTTTGCTGAAGAGTGAAGAGGGAGGGCTTAATCTAATCAGACGTATTTGTTGTTGGCAAACTACATTTTCTGACTTAGTCAAATAAGACTAAATATTGTCTTATTATCTTATATTATTTTTCGTCCCCCCCCCCCCCCATATGTTGCCCCCTTCCACACTATCACACACACACACACACACACACACCGCCCCCATCATCTACCAGATAAGTGTTTATTGGAAAGTGAAGGAGTTCTTAATCAAATCAGACATATTTGTTGTTGATAAACTACATTTTCTGACTTAGTCAAATAAGACTAAATATTGTCTTAATATTTTGGAATTAATATCTAGGTTATTTTCCCTTCCGCACTATCACACACACCCCATCCCTACACCCCCTCCCCCCAGGCAGCTAAGTGTTTGATGAGGACTGAAGAGGGAGTGCTAATGATACATATTTGTTGTTGATAAACTACATTTTCTGACTTTGTCGAATAACACTAAATATCTTACATTATTTTTCTGCCCCCCCCCCCCCCTCCCACCATGTTGCCCATTTCACACTATCACACCCCTCCACCCCCACACCCCCTAGCCTGGCTGCTCAGGCTAGTTACTCAATGTTTACATCCTAGGGACCGCTCAAACACGTGTCGAACACGGAACGTTAAAAACACATCAACCAGCGAGACACGAGACCGTTACAAACGTTTATCTAAGTTTGACGCGAAGTTTGCATGTTGACGCTCAATGGCTGACAGCCCGCTGTAACACGGTGGTTAAAAAAAAGGTGTTTCTAAGTTCCGACTTCAAAGTAACACAACACTTCACTCGACTCGAACAGTTTTACGATTGTCTTTTCTTCGGTATTTGTTAATGCCAGTGGTTCTTACCTTGGGTTCCATCGACCCAAGGGATTCGGCAGAGGTCAAGACACAAACCCGGCTTATAAGATTCACGATCGGATTTTGTCAGTGCGGACGATAGAAGTTAGAACTAGTAAGAAGGGTTCGTTGAATGCGCATAGTGGGGTTCGGTATCTCCAAAAAGGTTGAGAACCACTGGTTTATACGAATGAAGCTATTCGGTTCAAACTGTTCGTAGAGGGCAGTCAACCCTCACTTCACACATACAGATGACTATATATACATATATATATAATGTAATATGTACAATGTTATATATATATATATATATATATATATATATATATATATATATATATATATATATATATATAGTCATCTGTGTGTGTGCGTGTTTACGTTTGCCAATATCGATTCAAAGGAAAGTAAATACGACAAAACTAATAGGCTATCTGAAAGTATTCATTTTTGTTTAAAACTCCCGACTATTAATACACACGACGTAAGCGAGACAGCTAATCCGACGTTTCTAGTTACACCCCTGGAGGTATTCAATTAATTTCAAATATCAGAACTTTGTGGTTGGTGTCGTTGTCAGAAAAAATTCTGTTAAAATTACAAGCGACACATTTTTTTTTGTGAAATTCAATTCTTAATCATGTACATTTTTAAAGGGATTGTATTTCGCATTTACATTGCTAAACTGTTTTTGTAAGGTTTACTGTGCTTGCAGTCAATGTTGTAAGGTTCATATTTGGAAATTACTAACAGTCACTGGTGTAAGGTTCACATTTGGAATTCAAGTGTTTTGTATTTCTAAAGTTTAACCTAACGTAGTACACAATATGTACAATTATTTCCACATGAACTTAAAATTTCTCTTAAAATACGACTTGCTGCATTCGTTGTATTTTTATGTGTGTCGGATCAGTGTATGTGTGTACAGTGTAATTAAAATGTTATGTCTGGTCAAGTTATGTGTTATTAGAATCTTCAGATTGGGCATTTTCATGTATAATTAGAATAAGTCGTTTACCTGTGTAATTAGAATGTTTAGACTGACGAGTTTTAATGTGTAATTTATATGTTTAGTAAATAAATATGTTTATAGGAGGTAGAGCAGCAATTATTACTATTGGAATTACAAAATTGTCAATTTGTGGGAGCGATCATTGACCGACGAAGTAGAGTGCATCTGTTATGTAGGCGCAATGAACCCTATGTCGCAATTTATTTTGTCCCACTAATGAAAGATTTAACTGGCGGTAGGATATATCCTAGGAGATAGCAGCAGATAAGGTTAGGGCCAGACAGTCTTAGGGCATTGTATGACAATTAAGATATGAACAATTACATTGAGACAGGGTAGGACAATTGAGATATGGACAATTAGTGGGAGATATTGAAGGATAATTTAGATAAGAACAATTACGTTCAGACATTCATTGCATGATAATTAGGCTATGAACAACTAAATTTAGGCATTGCATGATAATTAGGCTATGAACAACTAAATTGAGGCATTGCATGATAATTGAGATAGGAACAATTAAGTTGAGACATTCATTGCATGACAATTAAGATATGAACAATAAAATTAAGGCATTGCACGACAATTAATTAAGATATGAACAATAAAATTGAGGCATTGAATGACAATTGAGATATGAACAATTAGGGTTGGGACAAACCCGTGCCCATAACTCAGATTGTTCCGTGTCGATATCCTGTACTAAGCGATAAGGACATTAACGTCCAAACATTCGTCGACTTGCTCTAAACAGTTTGGTCCCTAATTGACATTTATTGATCATACACTTCAACCTGGGCCCTAACAACCTGTAAATGACTTGACGTCGCCTTCGACAGATAGGCTTGCATTGTGCCCCTCCTGCTCGTGTGTGTTTTTCATTAACGCTATTAAAACCGCAGGGGGAAAAAAGTTACGTACAAGTTATATCCTTACAAAAAGAGTTTGATTGTTTTTTTTTTTTTGGTTTTTTTTTGGGGGGTGTGTGGTTGGATATCTGACTGTGAAGATAATCCATACACGCCACCGTTTAGTAGGATTCCCACCAACATCCACACCACGTGGATACGGTTGTCGGATTAGCTTGCATGACGTCTATTATATTTATATTATTATAAATGCTGTTTGTTGGGAGAGCTCATGATGACTAACCCCAAAGTCCCGAGCTCAGACCCCCAGGCAGATGAGGCTCGTTAGCTGGGGACAACAAGCCATCTAGAGATAGAAAACTCATAAATAAGAGTTTCTTCCAGGCATCTAACCCCCCCCCCCCCCCAAAGAAAGTCTACCCCCCCCCCCACCCCGAAAATATCAAGTCTGAAAGAAACACTGTCCAAAATCAAACGAATGCAGCTGGTATCATAGATGAACGAAAGCTATGGAAGCAGAATAAAAAGGCTGAAGGCGGAGTCACCTGGCCAGATATGTTAGATGAAATTGCTGCCAATATTACGATTAAGTACAAAGAAGGAGAATAATCTAGGACAGCTTGTCAGTTAACAAATCTGACAATGAAGATTGGCAAATAAAATATAACCAACCAGACGGGCATATAAAATTTAACCAACCACTGAACCAGATAGGCATATTAAATTTAACCAACCAACTCTGATTTTAAGTGGCTCCAATTTAGTTGAAAAGGATAAACGCCAACTTTATTTGCTCTTCTTCTCGACGTAGCATTATGTATGGTATTGCGATTATTTGTTAATCGGGAGTATAAACGTCAGGGGTAGAGCTAATGGCATGATTAAGGCAATAGGGTTACAGTTATGGCCTGAACTAGGGTAGAAATACTCTCAAACATAAAGCTTCGATACACTCAGCTCATCCTCACTATAGGTACCCACGACCCCCGTCTTGGAGGTAGTGAGTGACCTCATGTATAGAAGAGCTTAACTGGAAGTAAAAGTATGGGCGCGGCGTAAAAAAGTGCACTTTTTATATTTCCTAAACAATTTTCTATAGATATTAGAACATTCGTCGGAGGATCATAATATGATATTGCTTATTTGTTGAGAATATTTTTTTCACGACTTCACGACTGTTTCATCTGATCAGGAAACAACAGCACATATTAGTTTTAGTGTGTTTTAGGTGGGGGGGGGGGGGGGCGAGACGACGACATTAACAAACACAATGGTTGAAAACGTGTGGTAATGTGACTCCCCCGCCCCCACCCCCATACTTCACCACACACAGAGACATCAATTTAGCTTGATCCCCCCCCCCCCCCACATATATTTTAACAGCCCGGAATAAAAATTATTAGTAAAATAATTCAATTCAGTGTGCGGAAAACGTGAGTCTGTTATTGTGTGTATGTGTTTATAATGACTAATTAATTTGGTTATAATATATAATTATTTTTAAGATCACTAGATTGTCTATAATAATAACTAATTAATTTTGTTAAAATGTATAATTATTTTAAAGCACTAGATTATTTGAAAAACAAATTGTAATAACATTTCCGATTAGGAAACTGACAACAGATTTGAAAATTATTCAACAAGGTAGTCATGTCCATGACAATATGACGGTAAATACATAATGAAATAATTAAAACGAAAACAATAATAAAACAAAAATTAGAGACAGATAAACATCTGGATTTATATGTACATGTAGGGAACACAAACACACACAGACAAACATATATATATATATATATATTAATATATATATATATATATATAGGCCCTATATGTATATATATATACATACATATTATATATATATATATATATATATATATATATATATATATATATATATATATATATATATATATATATATATATATATATATATATATATATATATATTGTATATTGTATATATATATATATATATATATTGTATATTGTATATATATATATATATATATATATATATATATATATATATATATATATATATATATATATATATATATATATATATATATATATATATAACGAGACATTGTGTTTACAAGCCACTTTAATTTTATATTACACATCCTTACCTTTACTGTAAAAACTCCATGAAAACCAAATGCCTGTAGCGAGATTAAAGTTACGAAGCTTCGAGCCCCTTAGGCCGCCTTTGAAGGCATTAGATAGAGCAAAATTACAAGGTACCCAGACGTCAACTGGCACAAGCAGTGCTGTGGCGCGTCGATCAATATCTTCCCAAGTTTTTTAATCCCTGTGACTTTTAATATTTATCAGCCCAGAGTTCTCCCCCTTATGTTTTGCACACCCTCCCACTGAGTTAAAAATGAATTGGCAAATAATCACAACAAGGGAAATAATTTAACAATAATTCTTCGGGGTCGTCCATAAATGACGTCACACTCGTAGTGGGGTGGGGGTGTGTAATTTTGTGACGGTGTGTGATGAGGGGGATGGGGGGAGTGTCAAATGGTGTGACGTCACACTTTTGTATAGTAAAAAAGCTATGTTAGAAAACGAGTTTAAGCCGTTATTTCGCGTTTTAGAAAACTGTTTTAATAAAGTATAGAAGGAGTTTATTAAAATACTCTATGTTGACAGTTCTGACAAGATTTTGGAAAAAAATATCGATGTTTTAAGAAAAATTCAACTGCAATTTTGAGGGGGGTTGTAGGTAGTTTCTTTTCCAGACATCTCTTGGGGGGGGGGGGGGCGAAAAAATTCTACCCACCCCCCCAGGACGAAATGAAATTTATTTGATTTATATAGAAAATATATACTTTTAACAGTGTCCGCACCCCCCCCCCCCCGAAAATTTCAAGTGCCCCCTCTCCCGGAGAAAAAGTCTGGAAGAAACACTGGTTGTAGGCTAAGGTGTGACGTCATTGGGGGGGGGGGCTTTTTGTGACGATATGTCAAAAATTATGGATGACCCATTATTGCCTAGTCTTTCTTAACTTTTTTGTAGAATTACAAAGTGAATGTCGGTACCACACATGGACGAAAATCCACCAGTGTGTGGGTCTTTAGTATAACGTCGTGAACACTGTTTATGTACTGCTAAGACGCAATCCGGAATGCGCACGAATTTAGTTCGTAGCCTTTTCAATCTTTGTGTAAATAAAAATCACTTTCCCCTCATCATTTCCCAATACACTTTTTAAAAATATAGTGTGGCCAGTAATAGGTTTTGTCCTAACACCATGAGTCAGGTACCCACATGAGCTGGCTAGACTCAGGGACGCGAACTCAAGACTCTAAGGTTAGCACTTGTGCTCTCTAGCTCTTTGCGGATATTTATGATCTATTTGGCCTAAAAAATATTTATACCCTTTTTTAAATATAAAAAAAAAGAACAGAATTTATACATTTTTTGGTGAACGGCCTTAAGCATCAATTCACACTCCACAAATATTTACCAGCACTGATCCACCACTATCATTACATTTTATTCAACATTTAATCTTTATAAATTTGTTTTGAATATTTTAGATAAATACTTTGCAAAAAAAAATAAAAACAAGCAGTATCTAGATTCTATATAATAATATAATGCCATTGGCAGTTTTTAAAGGTTGCAAAAAGATGGGAATTTAAATTGAAAAACAACAAAATTTTAGACTTAGGACCCACAACTTTTAATCCATATTTTAAATCAGCCATAACAGGGTAGACAACGCGTCTAGCTTGCCGGGGCAGGCTGATTTGTATTTTGCATAGAAACATATCGCGAGATATTGCGTTACGAGAGTTGACAGTGCGAGATAATACGAGAGTTATCAACATGTCGAACGCCGGATTCTTTCGGGTTAGTATTTCGATATTAAAATATTAAACAGTCAAAGAGCATCCACTGTTTGTCTTAGTTCGCTTATTACTAATGCTTTTTCATTTTCAATTCACTATTTAGTGAATGCAGAAAAGATGCCTAAATAACCTGCATTCCTGTTTTCACATGCGAAAAATATTGTAACTCAAGTTGGCTTGTTTTCAATTTTTATTCCTAATTTCAGTTGACAAAAGTAACAATGTAGACTGAATTTACATTAAATATTGTTTATATACCGTAAAACATGTATTTAACTGGCTATAGTTTATTTTGGGACTAATTTCAGTGGATATATTTTGAGGTTGATCTATAATTCTATCTAGTTTGGCAAGGTGGCGTGTCCTGTAGACAGGCAAATGAGTTGCCAGATCAAAATTGGAAAAATTAATTTAAAAAAAAAAAGGCCTATTAATTATTGAAATTGTGTCAAGTAGAAATATAGACCTGACAACTGTGTTCAGTTGAAATAAATATTTTACCTAGGGCCTAAATGTATTTTTTTTCCTATTTAGGTTTTCTAGTTGCATCATCAAATCTTCCAAGTTATTTAGTTACGCTCACCAATAAGGCTTACTATTATTAATTATTATTATTAAGCCTGAATAAATAATATTAGGCCTAGATCTAGTATTTTCAGCCATATTCAAGTAGATTCTACTAATTCTAGAATCTAAATAACATTTTCATCAGAGCAATTAGACTCATTATATTGACTGCTTGCTCATTTGAGTGGTGAAGATGAAATGAAAAAAAAATGTTAGATGATTCGTAGAATCTAGTAAATACAAATATGATTAGCTATTGAAAAGAAACCCTTACACAAGTCCTACCATAGCTCAGAACATAATTTCCAATCATGACACTAGATCTAAATCTGAGATTACAATACTACTAGATCTAACAAACAAATGCTTATTTTTAGAATCTATTGTTTTTTGTCAGAAACTGGTATTATTTTATAGCAATAGGCCTACTCCTAACAATTCTTTTTTTTTGTACTAATCAGCTAGAAGTTACCTTGCTCTGTACTCCATACATTTTCCATGCCTTGACCACAATTTTTTCATGGACTAAGTAGTAAATTTAGTAGATTAATCAAAATTAGTTATCAATATCGTCAGATAATTTACATTGAAGTACTATAGTTTTATCTTCTGTTGCTCTATTGAGTGTTGCCTACTTTACCAATTAGGCTACATACTAAACAATGTGTAGGTTTAACTTCCATTAAAACATTTTAAACGCTCCTAGTTAAGTTTTTGTATTGTATTAGTTATTGTTAATGAATTATGGATCCAATTGAAGTGGTCACTTTTGTCTTTCATTTATTCAGCTAATTTTTTAGAGATAGTTTAGATAGCAGAATAGAATTGCAGTATTGTCTGCTTATATAAGCCTACATGAATTTAAAATTGCTAAATGTCTACTCTTTATTATAATTGATAATTGTCTTCCTAGTTTCTTGAGACATCTGTTGCAGCTCATCTCTTTCAGTCCTGAGCACTTACATTTTCATTTTTTGTTCTATTGCTCTCTTGTTTGGTCATTTAAAAAAGCACTGGCTTGGGCTAGTAGATAGGAAATTTTAACACATTTGGCAAAATTGTTTTGGCTGTATATATAAATGAACAATTACAATTTTGCTATTGTAGTTTGTTTTTTTACGTAATTATTTAGCACACTAGAATCATTCTCAGCATTTTAATCACTACTTTACAGTGTATCAGTTTCTTTTAGTTACATCTGATGTAGATCTATAAATCCCAACCTATTCAGTGTTAAAATTAGAAAAGTTAATCAAAGATTATCATCATGTGTGATGTTAAATCTAAAAAAAATGACATTTTGATTTACCAGCTTCTGTGTATTCATCCTAAAAATTTTCATTAGATTTAGTATTTTTAGGGGTGGTATTCTGGCATACTGCGATGAAAACATATGTGATGGTTGGGATAAAATTAGGTTAGTGAGATGTATTTATTTATGGACAACCTTTAGCATCTATTAGGTTAGTACACTCTTCACTTATGCCTGTGATTAGTTTTAGAAACAATTTCATCACACTTTTCATAGGTTGCCTTATTTGGCAGCTGTCTCCTTTAAATTTGCTGTGGTGATCTATCTTGTAATCTCAAAAATAAAATTTACTGGCCATAGAATGAATAGCAGCATGGTTCATTCTGCGAGTGGTAAATATTGTACATTGACCAGGCAATTATACATTACATAATTAGAAAAAGCTTTGTGCAACATTTTCTGGTTTGGTTTTGTATGAAAGAGAACATATCTCCAAGTTCTATAACTGGACCTGGAAGAATTTTCTTTGTGTTTTGTTTCCTGCCCATCAAATTAAGTATATAAAAAATAAACATCTTTTAAGTTGAATAATTTGTTACTATGATATTATGTCGACTGTCCTTGAAAGACTAGCAAGTGTCAGCGTTTGGCTTATTGAAGCCCAAATTATCAGAATTGCCAATTATTTTTGCAGTCATGCTAAACATTAACTATTCTTGTAATTGTTTACATTTTTTTTGTCACTGTTTGTTGTCCTCCTTCACTAATCAGCCCATAACCCATAAAAATTGATGTGAATGCACTTTTATGCCCACTCTGGTTAGATGAGGCATATCCCAAAGTCACTAGGCCAAATAATATTCATAGATCAGACATATACAAATAAAGAATGGGTTGATTACACCATTAACATACTGTTGAGGTAAATAAAAAGGTGTTATTTTTTTTGTCAAGAATTTTATAATTACTGCAGTTTATGTGACTGTCTGCTACCAATGTTTACAGTTTACTTTGTAATGTACATAATTCAAATATGGGGTTATCTAATGTTGAATAACCGCTAAAGGCATGATCTTAAAAAAAATTCCATCTCTTTGGAATTCAAAAGTTTATCATTTTAAAGTATCTTTAAATAAAGTTATCCTTTCTCACCTAATGGGCCATTGGACAGATGAAGTAGAGCTAATCTTTTTCTTGACGAACAGCATATAAAGGGTTTGTGTGGACATCACTGTGCTCAACCACCTTTATCTGCCCGAGCTGGGTGGAATCAGGGATGGTCCTACAGGCTTAAGTCCAAGATCTGAACTTGAGACTTTTGGGTTGGCTATACCACCCAGCTGTAGTCACATACAGCATCTCTAATCTTTGTATAATTGAGTAGCTGTAAACTTGGCGTGCCATTTTGAATTTAAAAATGTGTTGAAAGTTAGCAGTCATTAAATTTTGCTAATATTTTGTTACTATTATTTGCAAAGTGTTTTTGGCTGTACTTATTTTTGAAAGTAGATTATTTTAATCATTCATCAGGCAAAAGTTTAATTGCTTGTCTTGAACATTCTTACTAAAACTTTTTTAGCCTTGTACTTTGAGACGTTGTACTTATATAATTTTTGATTATGTTGTATGGTAAAATTTCCTCAATTGCAATCAATGTTTGCATTCAGGCCAAAAAATTTTAAAAGATGAAGAATGTAAAAAGAACATCTGAACAATGCCCCAACTCAGGATACTGGCATCATTTTAAATTTTTATTTCAACCTTTTAGTTTCCCACTGTGAAAATAATTTAAACAAGGAATTTTTTAAAACTGCTTTTAATGCAGGGGTTTCTATTCAAGACAGGAATTTTAGTATGAAAAAAAAAGTCGGGGAGGGGTCGCTATAAGTATAAGCATGCATAAATAATATTGCAATGCTGTATAGAATTGCCAGTACTTCTATTTAATTAAGGGTTGTGAAGCAACAAAGTTGAACCAATTCGTATCTTCCTTATTGAAATCATAAAAATTGAGTTTGTACTGTTATCAACAAGGTAGTTTGTTTTAATTTTTTTGTTGATTTTTAATCATTAAGTTAAGTATACTTATGTAAGGACATTCTTTCAGATTTAAGGAGGAAAAAGGTATATTGTATAAAAAATGACAGAAAATTGTGTTGACAGGCATGTTTTTAATTTAAATTTGATAAAGTGGAGTTTTGAGGTTTCAAGTGTATTTTCTCATACATAGTATTATGACTTGGCTTTGTTACTAGAAGTAACCCCAAAATTAGACACAGATCATTCTTGTTCTTCAAGTTTTTAACTGTATTTGTACAGGTTGTCATATTAGAGGTGGTTTTTTTTTTAAACAAGATATTTTTAAAATTACTACTACAGAGTCGTAATATTAAATTTATTAAATTACAAAAATCGAAGTTAATTACATTTTTTTTAATTGAACACTTTTGTATATTGAAATGCAGTGTTAAAAAATATTTAAGACAATTTCTGTGCCAATTTTAATGTTCAAATTGTAGAAGGAAAACAGCATTATAATAGGAGCTCTGAACTAAGCAATAAATACAGAAAAAGATTAAAATTATCTTAAGTTTAATTTGCAGATTATCAAAATTACATTTTATTCAGAAATTTAAAAACTTATTATTATTATAGATTACTTTCCACCTTCTAATCTGCAACTTGGTATTTTTTGCTTCAGTTTTGAGGCCCTATCTGCTGTTGATTGGTGTTAGGTGGGTTTTTATTCTGACGAAGGAGTAACTCAAGCCCAAGCCAAGATGCATAATTATGCGGTAGGCATCCTAGTCCATACCAAGAGTTGAAAATATGTACAATTTTTTACATTTCAATACCTATGTTCACACATTTTGTTGCTATATTGTGAGGGGGCAGTTTTTAAACAAGCATCAGTTTTTTCTGTGTTTAAGATGGTAAAAAGTTATGAAGTGTTATATTAAACAAAAAAAATTTTAGTGCATGTATGCAGATTTAAAAAATTGCCCTCTTCCAATGTGTATTTAAAGTCCTATGCAAGTGAAATGACCTCTACTTTTTGTTTTGTTTTAGGGTACTACTGCTCAGCAGGATACAAGATTTTCTGATAAAAAGAAAAAGTTAATGAAAACAATGAAATTTGGGGAGGGCCTTGAACGCAAAGTAGGTTTTAAGATAAAAAATTGATTTCATTTCTATTTTAATATTATTTGTGTACTATACATATATTTTTGCACTGCATTTTTGTGCACACACAATTTTTGAGTAAGTAGATATGCTATGGTTTCCAGCATATTTCTTGGCTATAGTGTTCTAACCGGTGTTTACTTTTTCCTGTGAAAAGATAAAGATACAATAAAAAAAGGAATGCTCCCCTTTCATACTTAAAGATCCATAGGGCAGATTAAATAGAGTTTAATGTTTTTTGACCTCTGCCTATGAAGGGATGGTGTTGTTGGCACTATGCCCAGTTGCCTTTACTTTCCACCAATGTGAGTCAGCCAAATGCCTTACTATTCAACCACACCATCCCATCAAAAGGCAAAGGCTTATTATTAAAAGGGGATATTTAAAATAGTTATATTAAAGAAAACCAAATCCTCTATGCACTTTTTTAAATTTGTAAAAGAATTTAAACTTTAAAATTAAGTTAAAATTAAACATTTTATGATTATTTATTTGTTTGTTTTCATTGCTGCATAATGTGTACTTGTATTTTACAATAGATTAAATATGGTTCAATTTTATTTTCAAGGTTGACATGACTAAAGTAAATGTTGACAGTCTTAAGCCTTGGATTGCCCAACGTTTGACGGAGTTGTTAGGAATGGAGGATGATGTTGTTGTAGAATTCGTCTACAATCAACTAGAAGAAAGGGTAGGGCTTTGTCACTTGACTGTGATATATCTTATTTGTTCACTATTGGCTTGTTCATTGTTGAATACTTTTTATGGAGTGAGTGAAAAATGTAAACTCATCGAGCATGAATTTTTGTCTAGGTACATTGTTCAATCCCAGTTGTATCAGCAGTGCTTCAGGTTTTGTTTTTTTCCATAAAAAGTTGATAAATGAAATCAGATTTAAAGATTGGTTTGATTTTTAAATTCCTATAAAAAATAATTTTAAAAAATTAACAAGACCCCCTTAGAATTGCCCTATGGAGATTAAAAAAATCATTTTCAAGAGAAAATTCATTGGAATCAGTTTTCAGGCTTAGTAGAAGAATTTCATCAAGACGTTGATAAGCACGGATAGTGTTGAATGTATTCTCATTTGTTGACTATTTCCTCTTATGATCAGAGAAGCACTATAAACAAAATGGCCTCCAAGCATAGTCACTCTCTACAGAGCACAGATGCGGATGCTCCCAGTTTTCTCAATGCTTTGGTAGCTAGATACTCTTATCAGCTGCCTCAGAGATAAATCATCTGCTCCACTCAATGGTGGGTTTGTATCATTATTATCTATCCATTTGGTTTTGTGTCGGTCTAGTTTAGCATCTGCTGCTTTTAAAAATTCAAGACAGGTATCATACCTTTTAAAGGTTTTTCTTTGAGGTGCTTAGTACATAACCCTGACAATTTAAAGAGACTTTGGAAGGAGAAATGAGGGTGCACATGCTTCCGCTGTGTTACCGTTGTCCTTTATGAAAACTTCTATGGACAAAAGGACAACTTGTTCATTTGGAAATATTTCTCTACATGAAAAATGCATTTTCTTTCTGATAACCTATGCCATTGAATGGGAGCTATGCAGGTTTGTCTTGAAGCAACAACAACCTCAAGGATTTCAAAAAACGGTATTTTAATTGAGCAGTCAACATGGCAGGGAGAAATATAACACAAAATTTTAGTACCTATAACTTAATCCTCCCTTGAGGTAAAAGGTTAAACTGTTTTTATCTCTGAGATTTAGGCAGCTTGTGTGATTGATTGTTGAGTGCTCTTTTGTTTATTTCTGTTTTATTGTGCGTGCTGGTGTTACTGATAGGGCAAATCTTTTTTGCAGAGATAACGGACATTTCATTTGCTTGGTTGGATGCCTAGGTTGACCCAGGACAGAGTTGTTTTAGTACTTTTGTCCTGTGTGGTGCTGGAACTTACAGCCTTAACGTTTACTTGAGGGCGGGTGTCAGAGCGAAGCAAGTGAAGTTCTGTCCATTGAAACATCCTAACTTTTGTTTCACCGCAACTATTCATTTTCAATTAAAGGAAAAATAATGGAAGCCTGATGAGAAACCTGTTACACGAAGATTGCCTTATTAATGCAGTTTACTAATGTTATTAGTGTGAATATGTGTGCTTTGTTTTAAACAAAAAACCATGTTTTCCATGTTTAGGGTGAAAAATAATGGTTTTTATGACCCCAGTACAATTTCATGAGTTACTAATATATAATAAGCAATTAATTCTAATTACGAGAGCATATGATCTTTAATTTGTGTGCAGCAATTTTTTTGTATTCTCTAAACTCTGCACTCAATTTCTTGTGATGCCCTCTTTAAGGTTAAGGTTTTTTTTTTCCGTTACATTATATAGTCATAATATTAAAAAACTCGGTTAAATGTTAATCATTTACTTATGCATGCCATCTTCCCCTCATGTATCTTCAGCATCCAGATGCAAAGGAAATGCAAATCAATTTGACTGGCTTTCTGAATGGAAAGAATGCAAGAATATTTCTTAGTGAATTATGGGATCATTTGTGTAGTGCTCAAGAAAATGTTACTGGCATTCCCAATCAGTTCTTAGAACAAAAGAAAAATGAAATTAAACAGCGGCAGGTAATAACTTATAAGTACATTCATGTTATTTACAGATATTAATTAGTACTAGCAATATTAAATTAAACTAATTACTAATAGTACACGTGTTTAAGAAAATTAAGTAAAAAGTTACATCTTTTAAAATCTTGCCATGACCTTTTTTAACAGGAAGAACAAGAAAGGATAAAAGAAGCTGTAAAGAAAAAAGAGGAGCAAATAAAGGAGCAACTTGCTAGAGAAAGAAGAGAAGTGGAAAAGCAAGAGCGGGGAAGTAGATCACCCAGTAGAAGAAGGTAAGAGATTTATCTTATTTTGCCAAACTTTTTGCTTTGGAATTGTTTAAAGTAGTTGTTATATAGAATAATTTTTAAAAAATTAACACATTCTTTACACAAAATATGGTACTTTATTTTTCTATGTAGCAAAAGTAGAGATAGAGATGACAAAAGAGATAGAGATAGAGATGACAAAAGAGATAGAGATGATAAACGAGATAGAGAGGACAAAAGAGATAGAGATGACAAAAGAGATAGAGAGGACAAAAGAGATAGAGAAGATAAGCGTGAGAGAGAAGATAAGCGTGATAAAGAAGATAAGCGTGACAGAGATGAAAAAAGGGAAAGAGATGAAAAAAAGGAATCAAAGCCTGTTTCTGATCATGGTGATGCTACTTCAAATGATGACAAAAAAACTGAAATAAAAACTGAACTTAAGGAAGAGGAGCAAGTTGGGTAAGCTATCATTTTATCTATTATATTAATTCACCCTAAGAGGGGAGGGGAGTTGACTGTATATGTGATAAAAACTTTTTAAATACATACATTAATGAAAACACTTTCCCGAATTCTTAAGTTTTATTAATTCTTTTTTGTTATATAGTTATAATTTTTAAAATTTAGAAACATATTTTATAGAGATGCAAAAACAGAAATTAACGAAGAAAGCAACCTGAAAGAAAATTCTGAAAAAGATAAGCCAAAAGACAGATCTCCTGATAACAGAAGAGACAGTCGAGACAAGGATAGAGATAGAAAAAGGCGTTCACGGTCTGGTGAAAGGAGACACAGGGGACGATCCCGTTCACAAGACAGATACAGGGGCCCAATGGCTCGTCCAAGGTGATTTACAATAATACAAGAGATATTAATTTTTCTTAAAATGCACTTTCTTGTGATGGTATTGCTTTTATTGTAATGATGCACACTTTTCCTTTTAAAAAATCTGGATTAACTTGATTGTTTTGTATTTCAGACCAGGGTTTGGGCGTAGTCGCTTCACACCGCCATCTATACGACGTAGATCTCGTTCACCCAGACGGTCTAGGTCTCCCAGAAGAAGAACACCTTCGCCTAGGCGACATTCACCCACACCAAGACACCGCACACCACCATCAAAACGACGTAGTCCACCTCGTAGATCAGCTTCCCCACCATCTCGCCGACAGTCTTCACCTCACAGAAGTGTAACTTCTAAGAAGAAGACTAGGTCAGTGTTCAAATTATCAGAAGTTTCAAAAGTTCTTCCTAACCTAAATTATCTAGATTAGAATTCTTTATCTGGGTTTTTAAAATTAAATCTTTTTTAGTAATTTTTACTAATGCTATTCCTTATTATTTGTAACCATTTTTGTAGGTCAAGTTCAGAGGAAAGCTCCAGCAGTTCTGAAGATGAGGAAGAAAAGCCAAGAGGGGCTGTGAGTCATTAGTTTTACTATTATTTTTTTTTCTTCCATTTTTTGTTTTGTACATTAAATAAGCATGTTTAATTAAAAAATGTATTTTATTAGAAAGACGCGTCACCTGAGAAATCTGGAGTTCAAAAAAGAAGAAACTACAGAAAGCATGATGATGAAAGTGGGAAAGAATCGTCTAGTTCATCATCTGGGGATTCTAGTGATGATGAAAGAACTTCTGCTCAGCCTGTAAATGGTAAGAATTATTTAGTGAATTGTGATATAAGTTTTTATTTACAAATACAGTATTAAACCATTATATGCGAATATTCTCAATATTTAAATTTATTTCTGATACGGGAAAGATGATAAAATGCTAGGCCTTACTTTTTCTTTATAGGAAGAAGAGAAGAAGGAAGGAGGACACCTTCTCCGTTTGTTCGACGTCATAGAACTCCTGAACCTAGAAGACGAAGTCCATTTCCTCGAAGATTTCCTCCTCATATGAACAGAAGGTATAATAAAAATTTTATTACTTTTCTTCTTGTAATCTGTAGAGTAGAAATATAATAATTTCTTATCTAAATTTGAACTATTGAGAAACAAATGATATTTAACAAGCTTACGTCCTTGTTATCGATATGGGTATTGCTTTGACAGGAGAAGTCCTTCGCCCAGACGCAGATCACCACCTCCTAGGTATTCTCCACCCAGGTATAAGTTTATGTAAAGCCTTCGACTACATATTCTTAATGCCTCACAGAAATAAGTTCCCAGGCTTGAGATTTTTTAAAGAAAATGGTTTCATACATTTTCCAACAGTTCATTACTTAGATCAATTATTAAAGGGTTGCAGTGGGTAACCTGCATCTTCAAGTAAAAATTATTTGAAAATGCCACATTACATTAATATTATTGGTTATACTCTTTCAGAGTATACTATGGACAATATTTAAGGGGGTTTGATTAAAAGTAGTTGTTTAATAATTTTCTTTCTTACTTGATTAAAACAGCCCATCCATTTTGTTGAAAGCCTTTTTAAAGTTATCATGACTAAATTTTAAAAAAATATAGATACTTTAATAGAGATAGAAATAATTTAAGTTTAAAGAGGTCAAATTGTGCACATTTCAGAACATGGGCTGAATTAAAAATGTTTAAATTTTTTCGCACCCTTTTATTGAAACATCCATTTTTTTCAAATTACAATAAAATCTTTTTAAAGTTAATCAAGTGATAAACATTGATAAATATAGGCTCAAAATATTTCTGTATGCAGCTAATTCTTTTAAATGAAATATTTAACAAGCTCTTTGACATTGTAGGCGCCGGCGATCACCTTCACCTCCAAGGCGAAGGAGAATGTCACCCTCACCTAATCGTCGACAAGTATCCTCACCACCACCACGTGGAGGCAAATATTCATTATCCCCATCTCCTATGAAGAGACAGCATTCTCCTGTTTCTTTATCGCCACCTCCAGTAAAACAAAGAAAAAAGTCTCCAGAATCAGAGGATGAAAGCTCATCTGAGTCAGAGAGAGAGCCTTCCCCATCTCCAAGAGCAAAGCCTGTCAGAGCTAAAGAAATAGTTAAGTCCCAGGCTTCACCAGTGAAGAAAGCTCCCTCTAAGAAAGAGTCTTCATCTTCATCAGAATCTGACAGTGAGGAAGAGTCTGAAGATTCTGGCTCCCCCTCTCCTCCAAAAAAAAAACTAAAAGCACCTTCACCTTCTCAAAAGAAACGATCGCCTAGTCCAGACAAAACAAAATTGTCCAAACGTACTGCTGACACCCGCCCTAGTAAGAGATCTTCACGGAGCCCTAGTGCAGGCAGCAGGAACAGAGCTGGATCTCCTCCCAGAGGTAGAAAAGACATTGATTCTTCAAGATCAAGTGAATCTCGCAAAGACAAAAGAGAAACAAGGTCATCTCCCAGAAGAGACAAAAACAGTTCTCTGTCACCCAAAGGACGAAATCTGTCACCCCGGTCATCTCCTCGTACACGAATTAAAAATAGATCACCTTCACCCCGGGGTAGAGGTAAAAATGCCTCCCCACGCAGACCTTCACCAAAGCAGGCACCTAAGCAGCGTTCAGAAAGTCCTGTCATGCCATCAAAGCCGGCTCAGCGAAGAAGACCCTCAGCATCTGGCAGCAGTAGTGGTAGTAGCTCAGAAGACGAAAGCCCAAGGAAACCTAAAGGGGATGGCAAAAAGGAAACTAAGGTGACTAGTAAATGGAGTCGTTCTCCATCTCCATCCAGGGCAGCTCCCCCCTCTAAAAAACTGAAAGAAACTTCATTGAGTCCTCCAAAATCAAAAACACGAGATTCCAGAGAATCCAGGAGAGATAGATCCCCAGCTACTAGTTTGTCAAGGGCCAAGTCAGCTAGAGATGACAGAGATGATGAAAGGAGGGAATCAAGGAAAGGCAAAGAGGGAGAAATAAAATCCAAAGATAGAAGTCCTAGTTCTCCACGTCGAGAGGCTGATCAGAAAGAAATAGCTCAAATTAGTGGGAGTGACTCAGGTGTAAGTAGTTTACCTTTTTGGAATTATTTACTCACTCATTCCAAATAATAGAAAAAAATTCATGCTCACTAATTTTAAACAGTCAACTGTTTTAAATTCTTATTTTAGACTAGTATTACTTTATTGAGGTTTTGATCATTCCAAATTTATTTTTGACTGTTTACAACACCATTTCAAGCCTATCTAATATGTAAATCTACTTATATATGTATGCATTTGTTTCAAATAGGAATCTGATTCTGATAATGGATCTAAGAAAAAGAAGAAGAAGAAGGAAAAGAAACATAAAAAACACAAGAAACATAGGAAACACAAGCATAGGAAAGATAATAGTGATTTTCAGGTATGTTATGCTTAGAAGTTACAGACTTACAGGTGTTATTGTTTTATGTTTTGTCAACTTAATTTTGCCAATGGTATGGTTTATAAATTGAACTGTCAGATGTGAGCTCAGCACCGACCCTGGATACTTTCATTGCAACTGTCTTCTATTTGATTAACCATTAAACATATCAATTGTTCTTTCAGGAAAAGGGTGAAGAGTTGGAGCGCCGGCTGAGAGAAAAAGCACTTCAGTCTATGAGAGCTAAAGCTACAACATCTGAAGACAAACATACAAGCAACAGTGAAGACAGCAGCAGCAGTAGTGAATCTACCAGAGCATAAGTTTACCTTATTTAGTTTGTTCATAGGGGTCAGAGTCTAAACATTTGGCATGAATTTTTTACCTGTACATTTCCATTTGCATATTAGCTATTCTTGGATTAGTTTCCCAATTTCAGTTAATGGTATGTTTTTATACTTTGTTCCCTTATGCAGAGGTTAATTAATTGGTAATATATTGATTAGTTATGAGGTGTATTTTAAACAGTTGAAGGTATTTTTACTTGTGACATTTTTTGTTAATCTTTTAAATAATTTTAATTCTTCTTCAGTACATGATTATACTTTCAGCACAATTTAAAGCTATAATTTTTTCCCCAGCTTAAATGTCATCTTTTAAAAACTTTGAGTAACTTTTTATTATAATTTTTTTTTTCTATTAATTTTGGTTAATTGGAGAAGGTGTAAGAAAATAAATAAATGTTTATGCATAGACATTACAAGAAGTAATAATGAATATTTGCTTTTTCTCAGTTCAGATATTACATAATTATCAATTAGCCATAGATTTTAGTATAACTGATTACTCACAGGTATTTAGTTAAATAAAATTGTTTTGCTCAACCTTAGTGTAGAGTGGATAATTTAAAAAAAATAACTTGTTTTATTCTGATTGTAGGCTGCTTTTTGTTTGAGGAAAGTTTTTAAACCTAGCTTTGTGTAAAATAAGTTATTACCATGAATACTTCAATTTGTTGTGTAAATATTGCTGTCATGTTTATAGAAATTTTAACATTAGTTTTCTTGTAACATGCTGAACTTAATACATAATTAAATGGTAGCATTGCAAGATGATATCTTTAAAAAAAATTTAAATGTGTATCAGAGAAAATGTGCTACTGTTTTTATTTTTCAACTAGGAAATATCAAAACCACATGATTTTGGTCAAACCCATTAAAAATATACTCGCCTTCATAATTTGCTCTTAATAATATATATAAAGCTTAAAGAATTACTTGTCCCTATCAACTTTAGTGTTGAATTGTTATTTGCAGTATTTGTTTTATTTTTAAAAATTAAAGCATGTTTGAACAAACAACCATGTCTGTTTGTCAAAGTATGCCATGTGAATGAAAAATTTGAAACAAAAGCACTCAGCACATAAAAGAAAAACAATTGGCCATGTTTTGTGAATAACATTTTAATTCATTTGTATAGTAAGAAATGTTAGCACAAGTTAGATCTCACACCACATGCACACATTCATGGAGTCCAGAGCATTAGCTCCCATACAAAAATTGAAAAATTAAGCAAAGACTGAAAATGGTAATTGAAACAATGCCTTACAAAATTTGCTAAACAAAGCAGCAGTTTATAAATTATTCAAGTTACCATCTAACAGCTAGAGAAGAAGAATTTGCAGTATCAAGTTCCACTTGTGTGGAATGTGCATATAAGATGCATTTTTTTTGTTAAATCCCACATGCAAGCAACAACTAATTGTTTTTGGAAGTAACCATTTAAATGCCTAAACTATTAGCTAGCATATTGTAATGAAACAGTTAAGTACAAATATCTTTTTTTTTTTCAAACACTCAGAGGACAGGACTATTTACAAATCACAGGACAATGGCTGAGGTGCATTTATATTTTTCAGCATTTCATTTTCTCTTCCATCATTTGAGGCTAAGGAGTTATCTTAGCTGTGCAGTCAACTCTTTCTTACCTAATTTTATTCAGGGAATTCATCATTCAAACTAATACAGTAATTGTATGTTGAATATATTGAATAATAAATAAATTCACAGGGTTTTCTATGCTAACTACCACACTGTAGCAGCAGAAAATCTGATGGCTGATACATAGGCTTTTTTCTTTTAAAAAAAAATCTTGTTAAAACTTGTGTGAAATAAGACATTATTTTTTCCACCTAAATAAAATTTAGTTGCAGGAATTTTTAAATAAATTCATACTAAAATAGAACCTAATACAGTAGAAAACAGATAAATTCATAAACTTAACATTGTGTAAAGTTTGTAAAAATCTGAGTATCCCAAATCCAAGTTTCATATCATTGTTTTAATAATGTACATCTGATACCACATGATATCCAAGCCATTTTCACAAACCAGATACTTTAAAATTGCTAGTCAAAAACTTGGTTACATATTATAATGTAATTTGACCAATGATACCCACAACTATGTAGTGCTTGATAAAATATAACAGCAGGCCAACATTTACACTTGGTATAAGTTATCATCACACGTCATATCACATTTTCAGTCATGGGGGTTTACATTTTACACATTAAGAAAGGCAAACAAAACACCTGCATGTTTTGGAAATTGACCACAACATGAGTAGTAATTCCTCATCTTTACTGTAGTACTTCTTAAATTTGATTTTTTAATTTTTTTTTTGTACTACCTGTTTCTAAGTAAATAATTTTTAAAAAACTAGGCCAACATACTGAGTAATACAGCAAAAATTGGGACAATTTATATTGAATGTTTAAACATTTTAAAAACAGCTAACCTATTCAACTGAAAGATTGCGTTGTAGCACCTGCCACACCCTCTCTTCTTCTGTCTCCCTGTCTTTGTTGTCTCCTCCCCCTCCTCCAGCTTCACTGTACCCTCCCAAAACTTGCTGCACCTTTCCCTGTTTGGCTGTCATTAATGATTCCACTTTGAGCCACAGCATTTCTATTTCATCGAAATTTCCACCAGATTTTTTGTCGATTTGGTTGGTCATTAATCCGGTCGCGTCATGATCCGAAAGTAGTGGAGGAGCAGGGTGATGGGATGAGCCAAGAATGTTAGAATTAGCAGTCGACTTGTTTACATCACCGCAGCTAGTCGCATTGAGCTGACTGTGCTCTTTGTTCGCACGTTTAGCAGCAACTGGTTTTCCCTGGTCCAAACTAACCAATCCTGGGTTTCTGCTTGTGGAACCGAGTTTAAAGTTGTTGAGTTCGGTGTTTTTATTGATATCGTCCTGGGGATGAACTGATTTTTCAAAAGTCACTGGCTTGCTGTTGTCCAGTAGTTCTTCATTTGTAGAATTGAGCAAGCAGGGTGAGGTAGAGGTGTTTGTATTACCAGTCCAAAGCTCCTTGAATGCAACTTCACAGTTGCCATTTGCATTATCGCTTTCCAATAATTTCTCCATTGTTAAATTTTCTAAATTTTCACCGTCTATTTATACTGGTGGATTTTTCTTTCCCCCACTCCCGTCATAAATAAAATAAAAATGGACACAAAAATTGTTGCATTAAAGATCATATAATGTTGACAATCACATAGGGACTATAAGAAAATGTGTGATTGACCCATGACAATTCACAGTAGTGCACAAGTACATATCTAGAAGTTGGAAACAAAGTCCACACCAATGGTATTAGTCATTGTCCTCAGGTTTTGTTGACAGCAAACACAGATGATGATGATCATCAGACATCCATAGAGAAAAGCCTGCGTGGAAGCGGGCAGTTAAAACAAAGTCCAATGTACAAGACAAAATGTGTTGGACCTCTGCAACTGTGCAGACGAGCTTTCTGTTTACTTCACAGTCCAGGTGTTGAAGATTTCACATGAGACAGTCTACATGAACTAGGCCAAGGTCATGACAGGAATTCTGGGGAGTATAAATGAAAAAGAAAAATAGAACATTTTTGTAAGCCTAAGTTTCAATTTTCTTTTTTTTACTATCACACTGGCCCTGAGTAGTAATACTAGCAAAATATTTACTTTGATACGCAATTACCAACATTTTTCAAGTACCAGGTCTTTTTTTTTCAGTCTAAAAATGTTAAACATATCCTTTATTAACCCTTATACTTATTTATACACTGATTTTTATTGGTGTTTTTTAAAAAATTAAGGATCATTGAGCTAGATGTATAGCTAAATTTTCTATGTAACTACTAATTTAAAAAACTGGTAATTTCAAATTAAAAAAAATATTAAGTACTACTAATTAAAAAAACTGGTAATTTCAAATATTAAAAAAATTAAGTCACTGCATACCAGAAACATCTGCTCTCCTGTTATTTTCCTCAAAGGCTCTGAGAGGTGTCCCACCAACAATGGTTTTGCTGTCTATCAAATTGATCACTTCCTCAAATGGGCCCACCTCCCCGAGGTTATGGTGGCCCATCTGGTGGCTCCCCTCTGATGCTGGGACATTTTCAAATAGGAATCCAGATGCACTGTGGGAAACACTTTCATCTACAGAATGTAGACTTATGCTGTTCAGATGAAAAAAAAAAGAACAATAGTTACTAAATACTAAATAGGAATCTAGATGCATTGTGGGAAACACTTTCATCTACAGAATGTAGACTTATGCTGTTCAGATGAAAAAAAAAAGAACAATAGTTACTAAATACTAAATAGGAATCTAGATGCATTGTGGGAAACACTTTCATCTACAGAATGTAGACTTAAGCTGTTCAGATGAAAAAAATAACAATAGTTTCTTAAAGAACTATTTACATAATTACATTTTTAAACAGAATTTATCATTTTTATATTCAAATAAAAATGCAACAAATATAAACAAGGCACTTCTGGGGATCAGTTGTACATAGGAAGCAAAGGCAAAAAAATTAGGAAGACATAGCTAATTTAAAAAAAAAAAATTATGTTCAAGTCAAAGAGATATTTTTTCTAAAGACACTGTTAAAAAAATGCAGCAGTTTAATTATTACATCTGCATAGGCATACCTGAATTCCTTTAGGTATAGCTAGGGTTGTGCCCCCTAAGAATTGTTTACCAGGCTTTCCTTAGTTGTTTATTTAGAAGATGTGTAATTAAGTATACGAGCCGGCCCGCGGCATAACATACGCCGCTATTTAGTTGTTTCTAATTTTCAATAATTCATAATTTGTGAATTCAACAGTACCAACGCTGACACTGAAAATATTTCTTTAAAACACTATAAGTAGCTCGTTAAGGACCATAACCCCCCCCCCTCCCCCCTACGTTTAAAATCGTTGGCTCTGCTTGTAAACATTTAGAGTGAACACAGCTCACTAAAACCATGTAGGGGTGGGGAGGTAGGGAGAGCGTTTGCAGCTTGTTTTCTAACGGCTCGAAGAGGAGAATTATATATATAGATATGTATTTTAATTGATAGGTGAAGAATTGCCAATACATGGCAAGGCAATGCATCAATCAAGCAGGTCAGGAAAATGTCATAATTTGTGACACCAAAAAAACCAGACCAGTTTGCTAGGGCTGGGGCAAATGAAACATTTTATGTTCTACGCTTAGGATTAATGGTCTATTTTAAAATATATGTGATGATGGAGTTTTGGGATGGTTAAGCATACATGAGCTATTCAACTTGTATATTGACAATGAAACATAACTTGAATATAAAATATTTTAATGGAAGTAAAAAAAACAGATCAACAAATGATGGAATGTTCAATTTATTTGACACTAAAGCAAATTGGCTCAAAAATTGACTTGGAGAGGGGGTGGAGAAGGTAGAAAAAAATATGCCCAAACTAATTAAACAAGGATAACTAGTAGATATGGAGATGAAAGTTCTGTTACTACTTAAGTTAGTACAGTTTCTTCTCTGTTCACTGTAAAATACAATTTGGCTTGTAAATTTAAAACAAGAACTACAAAAAGAATTTACAATACCAGTAATAAATATATATTACCTGTGCTAGAATAAGAGGATGCTTAGAACATAAAGTAAACAACATCAGCCATGAACTATGTCTAAATATACACATGAACATCAAGACAACCTTAGCTGGAAACTAAGTCTGTTTAGACATGAACATCCAATCACTACCTCAGCTGTGAACTATACATGTATGAACATAAGTATACCTCTGCTATATATAGCATGAATTACAATTTCTTATCCAAGACACAAATCCCCTAGGCAGGATAGATTTATTATGAGATTCAACCGCCACATCAATTGCTAAATCTAATTCCCATAGAGAAAGCAGGCACACCCACACCCTTATAATATCAAGGTAGTCATCCATGCATCCAATGCACAAGTTCATGAACTGAATGCAGTGTTGACCAAGAAAAAAAAACCTGTTCTGTGGAAATCTTAAGGCACTCAAGTTTTTTCAGCTGTCTATCCTAACCGGTAGCACTCATGCATTCAGTCAAGTGACTGATTTTCTTACCATGATATTTGATATGACTGCAGTCAGTGAATAAACTCCTGAACATACAGCCATCATCTGTGTGTAAATTAAATAGCCTGAACATACAGTCATCATCTGTGTGTAATTAAATAACCTGAACATACAGCCATCATCTGTGTGTAAATTAAATAACCTGAACATACAGCCATCATCTGTGTGTAAATTAAATAACCTGAACATACAGTCATCATCTGAGTGTAAATTAAATAACCTGAACATACAGCCATCATCTGTGTGTAAATTAAATAACCTGAACATACAGCCATCATCTGTGTGTAAATTAAATAACCTGAACATACAGCCATCATCTGTGTGTAAATTAAATAACCTGAACATACAGCCATCATCTGTGTGTAAATTAAATAACCTGAACATACAGCCATCATCTGTGTGTAAATTAAATAACCTGAACATACAGCCGTCATCTGTGTGTAAATTAAATAACCCAAAGGTTGTTTTTTTTTTCTGACAGTTTGCTCAGGTGGTGGCCAATTATAACAATGGTTTAAATATTTAATTTATATTTTAAGATGATATTTTTTCTTCTTATTTGTCTGTTAGAGCAGGGGTCTCCAAACTTTTCAGTCCAAGGGCTGCATTAACTATCAAATTTCAGTTCGGGGGCCAGTTAGTTCCATGTATGTCTTTGATTTTTCTGGGCAAAGTTACTCAGCCATCACCAACAAATGGTGTTTCCGTGGACAAAAAGATCTCTGCGGGCCAGATGAGAGGACATCGCGGGCCACATCCGGCCCGCGGGCCGTAGTTTGGAGACCCCTGTGTTAGAGGGATGTGTCGTCCACCCCCCACCCCCCCGAATCACTGAAATGTAACATAAGTAGACTGTTGTAGCTACTGTTTTGTATTCCAGTAGCCCATCAATATAAATGTTAAAACACTTGATGAAGTGAAATGTTTTTTTAAACAAAACTTTTTAATTTTTGGTGAATTAATACATAAGTCTAACAACGTACTGTATGTTTTTAACCAAACATTCCAACCTTGTGTTTAACTACATGCTTTAACATAACAGTACAATGTTTTACATTAGTTGTAGACAAGTGGCTTCACCCACAATAAATCACTGTCACAGTGAACAGCCACTGGGTCAGATGTAAGGTGTAGCCACAGCCAGAGGGGACTAATTGTTGCTAGTTTTACTGTCCTATCTATACCTTTTAGTAGTATAGATCTAGTAGTAATGATGGTAGCCAGAAAAAGGGGGAAGTGGGTGCCCTTTCACAATGGTGGTTACATTTTTTATACTTGTATACTGACATGTTTATAGACAAGTAAAGTAGTAAAAGTTCTAAATGTTAACTATCTTTGGGAGCTTGGATAATTTGATATTTTACTTTATATCAAAGAAACATGTTTTTATAAGGTTTAGATTTTTTTTAACAAGCACTGTAATAGGCTAGTTCCTAGTGCATAAAAAAAGAAATTGCTTTGTTCTCCTGCATCATGTGTCACCCCCCCCCCCCCCCACAGTAAGAAAAAAAAAAAATATATATATATATATATATATATATATATATATATATATATATATATATATATATATATATATATATTCCATATACACTTGTAAGTATGTGTATACGCATGTGTATATGTATTCAAATTTTTTTTCTTCAGGATGTATTTAATTTTTTACCCCCACCCCCCATCCCATACATGGATTAACACATAAGTTATTACGATTCTCAACTAAATTGTTTTCCTCAGGAATATTTAAATTACATTACATGAGATTATCATTATTTTTTCTGTATATATATATAGGCCTATTGCTATTTTTTGCCTTGGTGTCACCCCCTAAATGGTGTCACCCGGTGTGGTCCGCATCCCCCCCCCCCCCCCTTGCAACGCCTCTGAACTAATATATTGCAGACATTTTTTTGCAATATCTCTACACTGGTAGATCTAGATCTACCAACCCTAAAAAAAAAAACCGACTTTATAGACAAATATAGTGTAAATATAGAGTCAACTAGAAATTTAAATGTAAAACTGTAAAACCTTGTCCCTTTTCAAGTGGGGATAAAACCTATTGCAATGATCTATAAAATATAGATCTAGTAGAGCCAAATAAAAAAGTCCCTGAATGATTGACAACTTTTAACATAGTGATAATTTACTTCCTCGGTTTAACTATAGGTAAAATAAATATTATGAAACTGTGACGTCATCTTTAAAATGCATGCACCACCGAGCAGGCTTACGATATGTGGGTCGTGCAAAAATGATTTAACCAACCATGAACCCTGCCAATCACAGTAGGCTAACTAAGAAATACTTACAAAACGAGCAGGAGCCAATTGAATAATCCAACAACTAGATCTAGCTGACTCGCAACACAAAACCCTGCTTGTGAAAACTTGCAGAGAACGCAGGCCGAGTCTCCAGGTTATTCAAGGCACGCAAACATCAAATCCGCGCTGACTGCCAACCCGCCGTATACAAACTACAAGTCGGACATGAAGGGTTAGGGCGTTAAGTCAGTAACATTGACTTTTTATTTAGCCGGCCTAATGACAGCATTTGATACATTGTAGGCCTACCTAGACTAGATCTAGATATTACAGTTGAATTTTAAAACATCAAATAGATCTAGATCTAGATTGATGATTGAATTTTAGAAAAGTTATTTAAAATTTATTAGGAAATCTATATCATTTGTAAACAGATTATGCCAGATAAATGTTTAAAATTAAGAGTCTAGATCAAATATTTTAAATGGCCAAGTACGATAATATTTTTAAAAGCGTACGTGCAAAATGTTACTGTCACTTGCTGTTACACGCCAGTGTACACTTTTAAAAAAAAAGTGGCCTAAGAAAAATCGATACAACAGATAAGGAAACGACGTTAGGGGGCTAGGTAAAACAAGTCATGTGTAACGGTTGGTCGGCCATGCCTAGTCGCCCGACATAGCCTACACTCAACACTTTATATACTGTTGTTGTTTTTTTTACTTTCAATATTTACAGCTTCTAAGTGAACATTTTAACATACCCCTAACCAAACTGACGCCATAAGCCTAACACGACCCTAAGTACTAACAGTGTCGTAATCCCAATTCTTGACCCTAGTCATAGCCTCAATCCCAACCACTGATATTCTAAACATTAGCATTTACGGGACTATTCCTGAAACTTGACCCTAACCTTAAAAATGTGACAATGGCTAAGAACCCGGTAGCTTAGCTAACACTAAAAATAAGTTGCTACTACACAGGGCGCCTTTGTTGCATACATGCACATTGAAGCATAACACACAGCATATGTGTTGTGTTGTCATCGGCCAATTGAACCGTATAGATTACGGGAACTAAGTTTAAAAAGAAAATGTAAGCTTTAGGATTGGGGCGGGGAGAAAGAGGAGGCAACTTGGGTCGCTGCATTCGAAAACCACTCCTGGGTTTGTACCTTTAAAATAAAAAACCCCAAACTCTGTCGCCGTTTTGAGTCATATCTGCACACCGCAGGTAAACAAAGGGGAAACAACTCGCCATAAAATATACAAGAGTGTAATGTGTGGTCCAAATAATTATACTGAAACGCGTTGTAAAATGCAATTTATTTATTTTTGTTTGCTTATTTTAAAATTAGATGGGAGGAGGGAGGCCGTTTTTTCCCTCTCTTCTCCCAATCCAGCCCGTTTTTTTTTTTGCGAAATTAGGAAAGTGGTTGTAATCTAACAGAATAAGCTTTGGCGGTATTATAATTAAAAAGACGGTCTGCGGACAGTATGGCTATGACATTATGGGGACAGTGTGGCTGTGGCCTAATTAGGACAGTGTGGTTATGACATAATGAAGATAGTGTGGTTATGTCCTCATGAGGACAGTGTGATTTCATATGACATTATGGACAGAGTATCGCAACGGCATGAGGGCGGTATGGCTATGACATATTGGGGGCAGTATATCTATGACCAAATGAAGATTATCGTTGTGACCTCATGAGTACAGTGTGGTTTTGACCTAATGAGGACAGTGTGGCTATGACCTAATGAAGATAGTATCCCTATGACATGAAGGCAGTGTGGCTATGACATAATGAAGATAGTATCCCTATGACATGAAGGCAGTGTGGCTATGACATAATGAAGATAGTATCCCTATGACATGAAGGCAGTGTGGCTATGACCTATTCGGGGTAGTATATCTATGACCTAATGAAGACTGTATCTCTATGACCTCACAAGAACAATGTGACTATGACCTAACGAGGACAGTGTTGCTATAACTTTACGGAGAGATTATGTAAAGAGTATGCTTACAAACAGAAGCCACAGTTATGACAAGACATTTTAGTTATACACCATTAGCATAATGCTGTACCTAACGAGTCACGCACGACTGAACGCGCAGTACCAAACACGCCGCGGCAACCGTGACTCAGCGACAAATGTCACGATTCCCTGGCCGCCATTTTGGGCCGCTACAATATTCATTTTGTTATGCTTCTGTATGACGTCGCGCCAGGTTAGGAGGGGTGGGGAGGGATGGTGTTATCGTTCAGTAGATCAAGGAAGTTAGAGCCACACAGCAGGTTTAGTCTTTAGTCGTATCTGTCTGTGTCTATGCTGATCTTCCTGGATGGAGTTCAATAACTAGGTAATATCTGTTTAGTGTTGTTATAATCAATCACTTCAATTTACTTAAGCAGCTGTTAGCGGACTTGTTTTTTTTTTTACCCGATAAGTAATCCATCATCTAACTAAATACAACTTACTTAATTAACCGAAAGCCTGTCTGCTAATCTATCTTCTGTTTACCGACTAATCAATTTTGTACATATCATAATATATATGTACCCAAACCATTAATTAATCTATTAATACCATCAACATAAGATGTCTAATATAAGGTTAGTCTGCTAATCTATCTTCTGTTTACCGACTAATCAATTTTGTACATATCATAATATATATGTACCCAAACCATTAACTAAGCTATTAATACCATCACCATAAGATGTCTAATATAAGGTTAGTTATATGAGACATCAATAACTTTCACCAAACTGGTAAAAAATCTATCAATATCATCGACATAACTTGTCTATGATATATCTCATAACAAACTGTTCGTTAACTAAGTTATCTAATGTAACTTTTACCAACTGTTAACTAATCAATCAATATCATCTGCATACATTTTCTAAGATATCTTTTACCAAACTGCTTGTGAACATATCAGTCTGGTATTTGTTAGAAAATCAAACGTTAACTTATCAATCACAAACCTATTATTAGCAAATAAATCGTTAGTTAACTAATCCTAAACCTGTTAGGTAATCCGTCTTTTAAGTAGCTATCTTTTAATACATTATTTTGCCTAAGCATACGCCAAGAAGTGAATCGTAGCATCAGTCATATTTACAAGTGGTGCTACAGTTTAACCTTAAGTGAACCCTCAAATGTAAACTCCTCGCTATTTGTAACCCACGGTTACAAAGCTTAAAACTAAAAACTTATTAACTCGTTTGTAATTTATTATTTTATTTCCACAGGACCAACATCATGGAGTAACTAATAACGGAGGGGTGCGTTAACAGCTAGATACCCCATACTGAGGGGTGCCTTAACAACTAGATACCCCATATTGAGGGGTGCCTGAACAACTAGATACCCAATACTGAAGAGTTCCTTAATAACTACATACCCCATATTGAGGGGTGCCTGAACAACTAGATACCCCAGATCGGGAGTGCCTTAACAACTACATACCGCATACTGAGGGGTGTCTGAACAACTAGATACCCCATACTGAGGGGTGCCTTAATAACTACATACCCCATATTGAGGGGTGTCTGAACAACTAGATAGCCCATACTGAGGGGTGCCTTAACAACTAGATACCCCCCAACTTGAGGGGAGTGTGACCAGTCCCCAAGCGTCACGTGACCAGGATGAGTCGCGGCCTTGTCTACGTCTGCATCTCCTGCAGCAGCCCCAGCGGGCTCCCCACGTACGATGACGTCATGGACAGTGAAAAAACCGTCATCATCCGCGACGACGCCCACGCCGAGGTGAGCCGCGGGGTGAGCCACAAGATGAGCCGGGAGATGGGCCACAGCCTCTACAGCCTGGACGTGGTCCGGCTCAGCCCGGCCGCCCACCCCAAGACGGAGCAGGCCGGCGCCGGCAGCGAGCCACACCTCAACCGGTCAGCTAGCACGGGCACGATGCCGGCAGACGCCAAACAGAAACGGAGGCGCTGGTTCAAACGTGGGAAAAGTGAAAGTATTAAAGAGTCGACGCCCACCGTGACGGGGGTCAGGTACTTTGATTTGTAGTGAAACCATTGGCCGTGATACACTGGAGTTCACGTTGACTTGCAGTGAAACTATTCATAATGGGTTCAATATAGGTAACAATGTAACCCCACTTAACAAGATCACTTTGGCTTATAGTGAAACATTCACTGCAATTCATTTGGACTGGGGGTGAAACTATTGTGATAAGTGTGATGTAGTGGACACACCTTCCAGTAACCGGCGTAACCACGGTGGTTTACAAAAGCTTCTAGGTGTAGATTTTGTTCTAGTGTGATTTAATACCTGCACAACACAGCTCGCCTTAACCAGTCTTATAGTATGATGTGTACCATCACCTATCTACTGCACCCACAACATCCGGGTAACCAAAGATCTTTTGGATTATTCTGTCATGTGAGAGATCCTTCTTAGGGGAAATTTTTGGTTGTTTTAAATAGCGAGAGAAACAAATACCTCGAGAATTTCGGGGAAAGAAAATGGGTAACGTAAACAAGCGTGGGCAGACATTTCAGCAACTTGAGTGTATACAAAAATTGGACGAAATTTGACGCTGGATTGCCCTCCCTGTAACTTTGAAGGTTTGAAAACAAACAACTGGTCAATATATTACCAATGTTCGTGTGCGCTAAATGACCAGTGCTGAAGCGGACGTTTTGTGTGCTACTATTTATAAGGGTAAACACGACTCATGTAAATATTTAAAGTGTGATAACTTTGTCATGTTGCTATGTACTTCATGTTTACCTAGATGTATTTATGTAAATAATCTCTCAAACGCGCAAAAAAAAATCAATCATGTGGTGATATATTTGAAATTAACAAGTGATATGTATGTACATATGTGTTAAATACACCTAACATGAGTTCACAAACAACAAAAATAAATAGTAAAGTTGATAAAAAGGTATTTTTTTAATTTTTACTTCGTCAGAGGGACTTCGCGAATGTTATTATTTTTGTGTTTGCTGGCGTACTCAACTTGGTCAAATAAAAAATTAATGACTCACAATAAAATATGTGATCTAACTGCTTATCGTTAGAACCTATTTCACTACTCAGCCCCCCCCCCCCTCTCACGTAAGTTAATCAACAGCCTGTCTAGCCAAAGTAAAACTAGCATTAATGTAATATTACTAACATTGAATTATCGTTTTAGATCTGTTATATGCTGTCACGATAGACAAACACGGCAGATCTATTTATATCTCCGAAACGATTTCCTTAAGAAACCCGTGTCCAGGTTCGACAATCTATACACGCAATAAAAGACTGCTAGAACTGGTTCTGGTGGTTCGGTGTTGCACCGTGCAGCACACGACAGGGGGGAAATGTAAAGCAACTGACAGGCTAGTTATAAAACATGTTATCGGTGATAGTTTACTGGGTCAGGTACACTTTTACAGATAGTGTGGCCTAAATATTTGTGACCAACACATATGGGACATAAACATTTGGGACCAAACAAATGGGATAAAAACATGAGGGACCAACACATATGAGACATAAATATTTGGGACCAACACATAATTATAGGACATAAACATTTGGGACCAACACATATGGGACAAAACCATTTGGGACCAAACCTATGGGACATAAATATTTGAGACCAAAACATATGGGACATAAATATTTGGGACCAACACATATGGGATTAACACATATAGGTTATAAACATTTGGGACCAGCACATATGAGACATAAACATTTAGGACCAACACATATGGGACATAAACATTTGGGACCAAAACATAAGATTCACTTGTTTAGTGTCAAATACATTTAAATTACAAAGAGATAATTTAAAAATTTAAGTGTACTTTCATTCTATGAAAACCAAAAATTGTTTTATTAAAGGCAAATCATACTGAGGTAGTTGTGTCTGTTGAAATTGGGGGGAGGGGAGGAAGACGGCATGTAAAGTAGTTCTATTTAGATGAACTTAGAGTTTAAATGGGGTGGTTAAGCATATCGCCTACAAATCAGGACATCATAAGGGTTACATGAAGGACATACACGTCACTGTAGGACACAATGGCACAAGGCTTACAGAAATGTCATTATTGGAACAATTGAGTAAACTGAAACCCTGGACTAGACCGGGGGGGGGGGCGGGGGGGGGGGGGCTAATAATTGGCATGACTGACAACAGCTACGTAACCTGAAATTGTCTCAGCTTTAGTGTGAAATAAAACTAAATTCATCTGTATCAGGGTAACAAGTGGCTTCAAGAGAAACAAACTCTCAAAAACCAACTAAAATTTAAAATAAAACTCTAGTACAATTTCACAAGCAGTAAAATATGGCATACGATACTGGTGTTTCAGATATACTCCACTTATAGCCATGTAAACAACTGCTAAGTAAAATATAGGTTAAACCAAGAAAGACTTCAGAAATAAATTCAGTAATAAACTGTAATACACATAATATGAAGATAACTTCACGGACATTTTATCCATCTATATGAGAAGTAGCCATACTTGTAGTAGGCCTACTTGTAATAGTACTACAAAAGAAAGAACTAATTGTTGTTTCCATATTGCAGGAGAATTTTTCTTTAAACACAACAGACAAGCAATACATAAAAAAAAGTATGAACAATAATACATTATTTTTACTAGCTCAACCAAAATAGTTTAACAAAGAAGGTATTGTTCAAATGAGGCATGGGATAGAATATATTAATTACAGAAACAAACAAAAGAAGCTAGAATCCTCATTCCTATATTAGTATTATAGCCTAAGCTAAAAGTAAGGGAAGTCACCCCCAGAGTATTAAAAGATTAAGGTCACAACCTCATGATGAGATGGATGGGATAAAAATAGAAGCTGACAGGGCTTACATTATAGATGAGAAAAAAGATAGGTCAGAAGAAAGAGAGAGGGGGAGGAATAAAATTGTCAATTCAGTGTTTGGTTATAAAATAAGGGGGAATGAAGCAGCAGAAAGAAAAAAAACTAAATAAGAGCCGGGTTTTTCAAAGGTAGTAATGCAGAAAGATGAATGGATTCAAACTTTGAGCCTATTTCTTGATCTACAACACTATGCCATCAGATAAAAACAAATCATCTCCATATTTTCTGCTCAATTCATATGGACTATAAAGATTTAGAAAACTTCTGAGGAAAGGCAATGAACACTTGCCTTATTTCTTTTTAAAGTTTGAACTTCAATAAAGCTACAACGATTGAATAACTGATAAAAAAACAACTTATAATGCAACAAAAGAACAGTAAAGAAAAACAAAAAGGAGAGTTAATATTCAATACAAAGGATGGCAGAAACACACATTTACGACATTATGTATTTAATTCAATAATACATCATATCAAAACAGTGTAAAATAGTTAGGAAAACAAAAATGACTGTATTTACAATTACAAAATTATAATATGTATAAATTAAGAAATAGTTTTTTTTATATAAAGAAAATAAAAAAACTTCACAGCAGAGCTAGGGGAGATAACAAAAAAAAATAAAAATGGAGAGTTACCTGGAATCATCCATGCTGTGTGTTTTGTGATCCCCATGGCCGTTCATGATGAATGATTGTGACATCATGCCTGGGGCAGAGAACTCCCCCTCCATGTGGGGCTCTATGCTTGAGCCCAGAGCGGAGTCACTCATGTTGGGGAACTTACTGGAGATTGCTTCTGGTGGAGAGGAATCTGACGAGGATTTGGAGGTGCTCATTGAATATGTCACATCCCCTGAGTCCTTGCCCATACCGTTGATATGGGTAGAATGGAAAGACCTGGATAACCCATCGAGGGAGGTGTCTTCATCTTTATCCTCATCTTCTCTCCCATGACTAAAGTTTTCTTTGTTAAAGCTGGAGCTGTCCGTCACAATGACGGAGGTTGTCATCAGGCTCTCCCCACCCGACGCCGGCTCCTTGTTGTGCGTCAGGTCCCCCATGCTGGACGACATGCCCATGCGGGCCCCAACTTTTGTTTTGCCCAGCAGATTCTGCAGCAGGGGGGATTTAAATTTGGTGGTGCCCGTAGGGGAGTCCCCTCCTTTCTTCTCCACCAGCTGCTGGAGCAGCGGAGATTTGAACTTGGACTTGGGTTCTGTGGCTTCAGTAGAGATGGGTTTGTCCTCTTGTTTGGAAGGTGTCGTACCTGTACTACTGGATAACCGTTTATCATGATCTTCGCTATGAGATCCATCGAGAATGTCTCCGGAGGACGCGCTGCGGATAAATGAGGACGTCATCAGAGTTGAGGTAGAAGATGTGTCTTCATCTGTGTCTAGAAAGAATGATGTGGTCATGGCAGCGTTTGGTATTTCCACAGCTGACCCGACGGGTGGAGCGGGTCCAAAGTCTCCCTCACTGGGCGACTCGACCACGGGTTTCTCGTCCTCGTCTGGGGAGTTCTGGGAGGAGTTGCCGTGGCTGATGTTGGGTGAGCTGCTCACTGTGGGGCTCTTTAAGCTGGGCTCAGTGTGGCTCTCTGGCTTGACACGTTTCATGATCATCTCCAGTTTCTGGTGGACAAATACAAAAACTTGGTTTATAACAGTTTATAGTTTATACTAAAATAGTTTTGTTACAAGAATGGAAATTTGCTTTTTTTAATTTAGTACATTTATTGCAGTATAGGAATAAAAGTGAAATGCTAGATGCTATGGTTTAACTGTAAAAAAAAACCCCACAGATAACAAAATTTGGCATCAACAACCAGTAAATAATGAGGCTGGTTATGTAGCCTCAAGACCACATATTTGCCTTCCTTACCTTTTTCCTTGCTTGTCTTTCTTCTTCTTCTCTTTTAGACTTTTCTTGTTTTTCTTTCTCCAACTTTTCAGCTTCTTCCTTAGCTTTTCTTTCAGATTCCTCTTTCTGAAACACAGACAAGAACACAAAGTAAAGATTTATTTAAGCCTAGTTTAATATAACAGATGTTAAGTATAATGTTGCTTATACAGATTCTTTGACATAAGTTTCTAGAAGTATTAAAATGAACTTCAACGGTTTGTAGTGAGCAGGGTTCACTCTTGCAGCGATATTAGATAAGCTACACTTTAATGTGAACTAATAGTCTTCTCTCAGAAGACTATTACCAAGTTCAGTTGGACTGTGAGTTCAGTTGAGTGATCATGTGGTTATTTTAAGTGTTTCATTGAGTAAAAAGTAGAAAAAAAAACAACTCACAGCTTTTCTTTCCTGTTCCAGTCTCTCTGCCTCTTCTCTCCTCCTCTTCTCTTCAGCCTCTATCGCCCTCTGTAACCTCTCCTCCTCTGCCTGCCGTGCCTCTGCAGCCTGACGCAGGGACTCTTCCTCTTGCCTTTTCTGTTCCTCTTCTTCTTTCCTCTGCCTCTCCTGTTCAGCAAGCCTGAGGAAACACAAATTTTAAGTTAAAAAAATCTCGAAGAAACATTTTTTAATTAACATGAAGATTTGAGTGGGATAGTGTGGCCTTGCGGTACACTGCTAGCCCAAAAGTCTTAAGGTCGAATCTGAGTTCAAGTCAGTGGAACGTCAGTGAGTCAACCCAGCTCTGATGGATACCTAAATAGTAACTGACGTTAGGGAAAGTAAAGGCTGCTGGGCATGGTGCTGACCACATTATCCCTTCATATGCCAAGGTCAAGAAACACATGAACTCTACTTCTTCTGCCCAATGGATTGCTAGGTCTAAAGAAGAATCTTTATGAAGATTTGAAAGTGGCATTTTGATACATCTTGATATGAAAGAAATTTCTAGAATGATTGGATTACCAGGCTTCCTCCTGTCTCTTCCTCTCCTCCTCTGCTTCCTTCTCTGCTTTCTCTCTCGCCTGTCTCCTTTTCTCAGCCAAGCGAGCTTTGTATTCCTCAGCTGTTATGTCTTGTACAGGGGCATTGCGTGGTGCTCCATCCTCCGTGCTTGCTGCAGGGGGAGGAGCCTGTGATGGTGTGGTTGTGGCTGAGGATGGTGCCGACGCTGGTGGTATAGATGGTGCATGTGTGGGGGTGGATGTGGCAGACGGGGGTGGGGTGACGCGAGGGGTGGATGTTCCAGACTTTTCTCCTGGTTTGCGGCCAGGCGAGACAGCTCTGCCAGCAGACGGTGGGGCTGCAGGTGCTGTGTGAGAGCTAGATGGTGTCACACGATGTGGCTCCTTAGTCTTGGCAGTGGCCTCTTTCTCTGGTGGATGCTTATCTCCCTTCATTGAAGCTCTCTAAAAGATGTAATGGATGTTTACATTTAATATATACCCACCTCAAAAATTTCATGACATTAAAATTGCATTTTAAAAATGAAGCCTCGAGCAATAATGAAAAACAGAAGCGCTACATGCATGTAACAGATGCCTAACAACTTTTAAGTTTAATATCATCATATTTTATAAGCTCATCTATTTAAAAAAGAAAATTATGCATCTGCTAAATGTAGTTTTTAAAGCGGTAATTAAGGTTAAAAAAAAATTCAAATAGCAAACTGATCATGCGATTTCATGCACAGTACATTAAAATTTTGTGGCATTCATAAGTGCAATAGGGTGAGAACTTTCTAGAAAAAAAAAACAAAAAAAAATTATTCTACAAATATTTTAAGTGCGCTAGAGAAATTAGGCTTAATTGCTTTAACTTAAACTACAGACAACATTTTCTCATGTACCTCTATGAAATTTAAATAATTTCCTAAAACTTCAATCACTTGGAATAAAATAATTTAATATTCTGAATACACAAAATTTTAAAACATTTAGATTTAAAGTATACATTAACTAGTTCAGATAAATACGGTGCAAACAAATTAAATGACTAAGAAAGTATTCTGCTAGTGTGTACTGACCCTATACACTGAGTTAGAAAGTACTTGAGGTAGTGTAAATACAAATTTTATAAGTGAGGTGTGAATTCAAAGTATTATTGTTAATTATAGTTGACACAAAAAATAGTTAAGATGCTGAGAGAAAGAATTACTGCTATATCTGAGGGTAAAAAAATAAGACAAGAGGAAACAGTGAGTTATTAAAGTAAATAAAATTATGGGTTTTTATTCGTTGTGAATAAGTAACAAATTTAACAAATTGTATGGCCCTAGTGTTTTTTAAATTTTTGCCCTAACTGATTATCCTGAAACAAATATTCTTATATATGTACTTTAAAGACATTAGAAATTTATCAATTCTGATGTGAAGAAATAAATATTTACATTCAAAATATATTTAGCCATGGTTATTTCTAATAACCTTGATTTGTTTATATACTGGTCACAGCCCACCACTCCCTATATAATAAGTTAAACATTATGAATAAAAAAATATATTGATGTAACTTTCATTTAAAAAGATTTTAGTCAAACATTTTTAATGTACTTTTTTAAAAGCATTACAAACTGTGGTTAAATTAATTTGAATAAAAAAGAGCAAAAACAAATAAATCAAGCATGATTATCATTTCTTTAACAATATCAACTTTCTTTGTTAATGACTTGGTAAAAAACTATTTATTTATAGTCATGCTAAATCTGAGGTTAGGGGTCATCCATAAATGACGTCACGCTTATTTTGACGATTTTTACCTCCCCCCTCCCCTCCGTCACACGTCGTCACAAAAAGTCAGACCCCCCCCCCCCTAAAATGACGTCACACCTCAACCTACAACCCCCCCTCAAAATTGCAGTTGAATTTTTTTAAAACATCGATATTTTTCCAAAATCTTGTCTAAACTATTACAATTTATTAAAACAGTTATCTAAAACGCGAAATAACGCCTAAAATTCGTTTTCTAACATTGCTTTTTTATAATGCAAAAATGTGACGTCGCAACATCTGAACCCCCCCCCCCCCTCCCCCTCATCACACATCGTCACAAAATTACGGACCCCCCCTCCCCCCTACGAGTGTGACGTCATTTATGGATGACCCCTTAGTAATATTTATAAGAATATATTTTGAGAGGTTGATAGAAACTTCTGTTTAGAATGAGCCAGGTAATAAGTTTTAGATTCCTTGTCATTTAAGTATAACCCTATGAAGGCTTGCATTAAAAAAAAAGGCCTATAACTCTGTTTAGGGTTAAGCACCAGCACCACAAGTTAGCTGATGACAGATCAAATTACTGTCATGTAGTAAAAAAGTCAAGCTTCATCCAACAGAAATTAAGCTGCTTATATAAGGGGTCTAGTGAAGTTGCAACTTGTTCCGAGGCAGTTTACTCAATAGCCTAACTAACTAATAATTCTTTTAATTTAAGTACATCTGTATTTATTAAAATAGCATGCATTGCCAGTTATTTTAATGAAACAACGCTAAGGGTCAACAAATTTTAAGTAAGGTATGGTGTAGGAGCATGTTAGTCATTGAAATACTAAAGCACAATTAATTTTTCAAATTAAATAACAAGAAATTTGAGTTTTTAATAAAAATCCTTTTTTTTTGGTCAAACTTTGTCCAGACAACTATCATTAAGGGAAAATCAGCTATCTCACACTGTTAGTTCAGCAATTCATGCTTGCTTAAAATCATGTTCCACCATGGCAAAAAGAAATCAAAGCTCCACCTAGTAGCAAGAAAATACCCACTATTTCTACAAAATATGGCTCTGATTTGAAGTATTTATATACTCAGTATCTCAATATTTGGCCAATTTTCAATTGACTTGCACATGATTAGAATTGAGACAAAACATATCCAGACCAAGTTTTTAATAAATTCTGGCTCAATTATCTGATTGATATTTTATTAAGTTGTTTCCACAACCAAAGACAAAAGCATGATGTGGCTATAGAAAGTAATTGTAAGCGTGATATATGTATATATATATTGTTTATAATCTGCTTGATAAAGCGTAAGCAGGGTGTTATATGAAGCGCGCACAAGTCTAAATCCACAGCAAACCTTTTTTACTCCAGCAAGGTTGGGTGTTGAGAAGGCTTTTCGTGGAGAAAGCTGTTGACAAATGCGCAAATAAACCAAGGGCAAAAAAAAAAAAACAACAAAAGCGTGACACTATTAAACATCCACAAACAAATCCTTTTCAAAAATGCAGCTAACAGCCAACATTTTAAAAAAAATTGTTCAACCAGGAATAAATGTTAGTTATTGAAATATGTAGAATGTATTAATATTTCCAATGTAAACAGAAAAAAACTGATCAAGAAACTGGATGCAATGTAACAATACAAGTGAACAAGCAAATGATTTCAGCAAGCAAACATAGCCGGTGTATCATTCCTATCTTCAATATGCAAGCAGCTAACTTTAACAATGTGAGCTTAAGAAACTACTAAAAAAAAAGCAAAGACCAAAAGACAATTGTAAATTGTAGTGAGTAAAGATTATAGTAAACTACTATATTGGCACCAGTTAAATAAATGATCCAGTGTAGGGTGCTAGTCCAAACATTCCAATAAAACAATGACCATCTACTTGTTGGCATATTTTTAAACAAAAAAAAAAGCATTTCAAGCTCAACTGCCCACAACATATAGGGAAATGAACAAGCAACTTCAATCTGTGAATCAAACAGCTCTATCCTCCACTAGACTACAGAACCATTAGAAGAAATAATGAAAAGACAATCATTTCCTTTAAAATGGTTTCTGCTAGCAGAGTGGAGATAGAGAGATGGATCAAAGGGATAAAATTCAAGCTACTAACAACATCAGGGCCAACCATTCCATCCTGCTCCCCATCTTCATCACCAGCAAACTGAACCTGAAATTTGGCCATCAACAATTGTTTAAATAGCTGTCTGTTGGGGAACTTGGAACTACAAATGGTATTACAGGCACTTCATGGTAGTCAATCTAAACCCAGTTCACCTAATTTTCTACACCTAAACCCAGTTCACCTAATCTTCTCCTACACCTAAACCCAGTTCACCTAATCTTCTCCTAGACCTAAACCCAATTCACTTCAATATCTCCTACACTTAAACCCAATTCATCCTATAATACCCCACTCTTCTACAAAAAAAAAATCATGTAATACTCAAACAAAAATGAATGTATTGGCAGTAGCTTGAGCAACCATTGTCTCATACCAACAATATTCAGACAAGACTTGAAGCTCTACATGACTGTCACAAACACACTATACACTGGGTGCCTCCAGCTATCAACACATCAACAATAGTAATCAATAACCTTTCATGTGAGCTTCTTCAATCAGCTTATTCAAAGTACCCTCATGTAATCAACTGTTTGTATTAATGTTTTTCTTATGAACATGAAAGGTCAGATCTAGTGCTAGCTACACAGACATACCCTAATGTGCGGAGACTCTTTCTTGGCTGGCATTTCTTTGGGAGAGTGGTCGTCTTTTTTGCTGTACTTGGGTGTGGCCAGCCTATCAAAGAATGACAGGGAGACCCTGGACTTCTTATCCTTCTTGTCTGAGACGTCTTTGTCCCCATCCTTGTCGGCATCTCTCTCCTCCTCATCTTTCAGCTTTTTAGACTTCTCATTTTCTTTGTCCTTCAGGGCTTTGTCCTCTTTCTTGGGTGGGCGTGTCTTAGAGCGGTCTGATAGAAACATTACAATGGATGTTAATAACAGCTTCACACAGCCTCTTTAAATAATTATCTCCATTGTGTGTAAGATGTAATTGGTTAAACTTTATTTGTAAAAATATTTCTTTACAGTAAAGTTTTAACTAAAATAAGATTAAATATTTTGTTTCCTGCTGACAAAAAGTATTTAAAAACTAGAACTAGAGTTTATATATTTAAAAAACAACATGGAAAAAATCAAGAACAAGTTAACCACATGCAAATAACCATTTTTCAAACAATGAACCTTTTCTCCCAAGAAATTAGTCACTGTAAAACCACCACCATTTTAAAGTAATAGTATTGTCATAGATGGAACCATAAAGTGGTTATTGTGCATAAATAGAATCATCTAGTCAATTTTAAAAATCCATAACCACTAGTTATAGATAAATGATATAAACTTGTTAGAAATATGAAATGACAAGGCTGTCTAATGAGACTATTATTATTATAATCAATAAAGCCACTCTATAAAAATAAAAATTTTTTAGTCATATAAAATTCTCATAAAGATTTAAAAGGCAAAGATGGGTCTAGCACACAAGAAACCTGTAGTTTACTGAAGGGAAAGCAGCAAAAAAAAAAGTAAAAAAAAAAAAAAAAACTGCTGTATTGATTGCCAAAAAAAATAGAATTGATATTTTCATTTCATTTTTTAAACATGTAATTTCTCATTTTTTAAAAATATTTTATAGTTTAAAGGGTTAATTCAATAGAAGAACAACTAGATCTAAACGCCTAAAGACATCTATTTAAAAATTTAAACAAAATAAAATGTGTGCATTTCAAAATATGAGTATAAGATAAAACAATCCCTGAGTTAAATGATGAAATCCATTTATAAAACTGATGAGTTAATAAATGTAAAACTGAATTTCTATTGCCATGAAATTCATAAAATAGTATCTGAGTTAATGCAGGTCTGAAATCCAGGGAAAAATGTCTTGAGTTAAGGTGGTGATGAAAACCAAAAGAAACAACAAGTGAGTGTAACAAGAAAATATAGAAGAGAAGGGAACCTGAGGCCGGACCAACAACTGTACCTCTCCCAGTGCGGTCAGTACTTTTACTGCGCGGTGACTTGGCCGGCTCACCCCCTACAAAACTAGGCATGGAGGAGGCCACGCTGGCCGGGCGCTGTTTGCGGGATGGTTTGTTCTCCCTCATCCTGACTGGGCTGGGCATGCTTGAGGTCATGGAGGTTCTAGTCAACGTGGCACTGGTGCTGGCTGCGGCTCTGTTGTGTTGGAATCCTGCCACGATGGCTGTGGCTGAGGTGTGGGGCCCTATAAAAGACCTTCTTCCTTCGCGTATTGTGTTAAGACCTTTGGCAATGCCCAAAAATACCCCCGGGGACAGGTGGTATATTTAGGATTGTTCACAACATCAAGTTTACGTTTTTTGGGAGGGGAAGGGAAAAAAAAAAAGAGTCCAGAGAGGGACATGGAGGAAGAAGAGGAAGAAGAAGAAGAAAAATAAATTAAATATTTGACAAAAGCTATGGTAAATAAAAAGATTAAGTTGATGTATGTTCCCACCACCAGAGCCTAGTAATGTTTACCTACATATAGCTCTAACTACAGTACATACAATGTAAATAGAACAGGCTTAATCTTCTAGTGTTAATTACAGCAGACTGTTATTTACAATAGATACATACAGATGTTAGTAAAATGTGGTCTACCATTTGATTACAGCACTAAACATTGTTCATATTCTAACCCTAGTGTGTCCATTGTTTTTCCCTAAAATGGTGCATCAATCTACAGAAGATGACCAAGCAACATAAATGGAATGCAAACTGTTAAGTAGTGAATGATGGCAGCATAAACCAGCAGCTAACCCTAGAAGCAGACTAGCATCCAACCATGCACCATGCTAACCACCCACATTCATGCATGCACTTAACAACTCTAAAATAAGTGATCTCATTAAGTTTTTTGTTCAGTAATTTGTATTATTACTTTTAAACATACATCATGACTTTAACATGGTATGCTGGATACATTCCAAATAAGGTCACGACCTAGTTTTTTAACACTAAATTTAGTTTTATATGAATAGAAAAAAATTAGGACAACTTGGATCTTAATCAAGCAAATTTTGTCTGACACTTTAAACATAATCTACTTCAAAATTGTCATTTACTTGAAAATATGTAATACTTTGTAAATATTTAAATAACTGACTCGCTAAGTTATTGAAGTAAATAGTTTTGTCAAGTTCAAACAGTGATATGGATTTGTTTACTTCTAACAAAAAGTTACCAGGATGATCTGACCAATAAAACAACCAACATATTTGTATGAAGTAAAAACTGGAGCTTATTTTCATCAAACTGTTGGTGTGTGACATGTTTTAAAGGGGAAAATCATAACTACTGTGTTATGGTGTTGCTACTGTCAGAAATATTTACATTTATGTATCGTGCTAGTAGTAAAACAAGACTTACAGCCTCATGGCATTTTATCAATTAAATATTTGAACAATTGGTCCTTTGTATGGAAATGTTTGGTAGGGTGGTAAAGAGTGGGTGGGGAGACAAAGAAAAAAATTAAACTATTTTAATCTGTAAACTGCTTACGGAATAAAATTCTACATTTTTGACAGTATAGACTACTGTGCCCAGCTCTAACAAATAAATGGGCATTTTATTTATACTAATTGCCTCATAGTTGCAAGAAAAAATATATTATCATCCAAATGTATCACTTTTGTTTTAGTCATGGATATCTTCTACACTAGAGAGATACAGTATATATTCATCATTGCCAAGCAGAGATCCTGCTTTTTACTTTACATACTACTGTAGATAACTTGTATGTGTGCGGTACACTTCTAGTTTTATACAATAGTATATAGTTTCAGCTTTGTAATTGTTTTTACAATAACAATTTATATAGAACTAATTTTTTGTATAGTAAAAAAATGACACTCTGAAAAGAATGTTTTGTGGTCAAACAAAGCCTGGAGAGGTAGTTAGAGTAAAAAAAAAATGGTTATAACTTGTGAGAGGATCCTTACCCACAGTCAAGTCAGGTCTAGAGGCAGGTAACAAAAGACTGGTGGAGGAAAACTCGGGGCTGCGTTTGTGGTACAAGACACTTGTGGAGACAGAGAGATTCCTGGGAGTGCCTTCACCAAACATCCCTACACAAAGGTGGCGTGGTCATGTACAGGGAGGGCAACAATTCGTGAAACAAAAAAAGAAATGCAAAAGCATGCAAATAAATAAAATTGGAAAAATAAAAACCCACACACAAAAACAAAAAAGGGTGCATCACATCTTATACACATGCTGTTTTAAGTTTGATGCCTCTTTATGAGTTAGAGCTGCATGCCAGAATGAAGTCTTGCAGGCTTTAGAAGTGCATGTGTAGAAGATCTCAACACCAGCGTTAAGGCAGACAACACCACATCAAAAAGTAAAAAAAAAAAAAGCACAGCCACAACATTTAAAAAATTTAGTTTTAATATAGAAAACCATAGGCACCCATCAAGGTATGGGAAAGGATTGGGAAAAAAATGTTAACTAGTAACCAACTTGCTGATCATGCCAAATTAGGGGAGGTGGCAGCTGATTGCCTTCATTACATTAGAAACATGGGTGCCCAGATTTTTTAAAAATTTGCAGTTATTTTTAAAACAAATTTACCAAATAAAAAAACATTACAATAACCAATGCACAAAATGCACTTGCTCTAACATAAATTAAGCTTAAGATAACTACATTCAACACAAAGCAGACAAAATATCTGGATGTGTTTCACCCAAGACTATCTGCCAGATCCATGAGCATAAAATATAAGGAGCATTCTTTAACCAAGCCAAACATTGATTTGGTGGCAAGTTTAATGTTATGGTAAAAGTAGTTAGTAGGTTGGGATAGAGATGCTTCATGACACAGGCACTGTTGCTACATTTATTACTAGTGGAACTGGGGTTAGATTGGTGTTTAGGTTAGTGTTACATAAACTAGTGAAAAGATTAGTGATGGGTATAATAATATATTCCAATTACAAGTGTAATGAAAGTAAATAGATGGCAAGGCAACAACTGTAACGGCAAGATGCTCAAAATGTTATTCATTGATAAAAAAGACGAAAAACAAAATGCAGGCTAAGTAAAGTATAACAGCACTAGGTATTATTTTTCTTTTTAAATAGGCTAAAGGTTATGTTGGTACATTTTTTTTAGCTATGATGTAATCAATCATTTCACCTATAGTTAGTCATCTAATAAACTTCAGTAATATACCTGATCACCTCTCATCAATGTTAAAAAAATGAGGCTTAAATCAATAATTTGTAAATTTATGTGTTAATAGATGAAAAAGAAGTCCACTATCTGCCACATCTAGCCAGTTGAATACATGTCAAATTTAAAAACATCCACATCAGCTGTCTTGTTTTTAGGCATGCCATGCTGATTAAGTTTTCACAAGCTGTAGCTACACAAGTGATTAAAAAACCTCATCTTTTTCTTTGTGTCTCAGTGTGAACTGAACCTATGACATACACCACAGTGTGATCAGTTAGACAGGAGACAATGGTGGTGGGCTGTTTACCTGTTCTATGTGTAGACTAGGACAAATTGTGTGATTAAAAAGAGTGTTACCGGTCTAGACCAGTCCAGAGGTGTTGTAGGAAAGAAAGGCTTATAAAGTCTACAAAAGAATAAAGAATTCCCTTCCCCATGTGAACATAAGCATGCACATTTTTTAGCTTTAACTTTTAAATTTTAAAAAAATATTTTTTAACAAGTAGCTGATTTTAAAATCTTTAACTTTAAAAAAATAATAATAAAATATACTTGAAGCATGCTTTTAAATTTTCTTTACTTTTACTTTACAAAAATTGCAGATTTAAATGTTATTTAAATTAATTGAATAAAATGTTATGCACCAGGTACCTAAAAACCTTTCAGTTGGAAGTTGAATAAAATGTAAATTTAGCCCAGCTTTCAGATCAATACTCCCTGAAACAATGCCAAAAAGTTTCTCCACTACCGCCAAAACAATGGAACCTGCTGCATAATAAAAGGCCAGCCTTCTCCTGGGTCAAGGTTCAACCAAGGCCAAGTGCCTGCACCTCCCACTACTCACCACTTGAGATTTGGGCCCTGGCAATGGATGACACTTGCCCACTGGATCTAAGACCAGCCCTTTTTCAAGTAGGACACCCGAAGCTAGGCATGTCTTATGTTTACCCCCTTCTGTACCCACCCATTAAAAAACAGAAATTTAAAAAACTTAACAGGATTTGTCTAAGAATTGAAAATTTAAAAAACTAAGATATCCCTATTATTTTTTTTAAAACCTCAGAAAAAAAAAAGTGGTTTAAAAATGAATAAAAATAACCCACTTTGTACCATAACACACCAAAGAAATCTCAGGGGTCCTACTGAGTTAAAGACTAAAATAGGGGTTAGTAGTGCTTGAGTTAGCCACATACCGATCCGATTATAATCTACACAACAGTGCCTTCGCACCGCACTGCACGCCGAGAGGGCACGCCTCTGCGGTCGCATCGAGTCCATATCGGACCCATTAGGGGAGCGCCTCTGAAGGGCGCTATGAGAGGATGAGCGTCTAGGTCGCTCGAAGGGCTGGCAGATGTCACGAGGGGTGGCGCTACCAAAACCTAATATGTGACCCCTCCCACCTTTGCGACCACCAGCTTTCCATGCCTCATAGCGGGCAACACGCTCCTCTGCTTTTTGCAGTATAGACTCACGGCGAGCCTGAAAAAATAAAGTTCAACATACCCAATGGTCTACCTTTAAAGTTTATTTAAATATATAAGAAATTATAAATTAACCTTTAATTACAAGAACTGCCCAAGTTAAAATACTCACTCTTTCTATATCTTCCTTCATTTTTCTGCGCTCCTCTACAGCGGCTCGTCTTTCTGAGTCCCTTCGTCGCAGATCTTCAATTTTCTTTCTCCGCATTTCCAACTGCTTTTCACGGTTCTCCTGTGCTATCCTCTGTTGTTCCTTCAGCTCCTCCAACTTTTTTCTCCTCTCCTCCATCAGCCTCTCTCTGGCTTGCCTAACTCTCTCCTCCTTTTCCCTCTCTTTTGCTATTTTAACTGGATCAGCCAGCATTCCAGCTGTGGTTAAATTGTACATTTGTTTCAGAGAAAAGAAAGTTCACTTTTTCAATTGATAAAAATATGAATTATGAAAAGTGTAAGCTAGCTGTCAAGGTAGAAGATAAACTGTGCAGTATTTATTCTTCACTTTTTAATTCCAGTTAACATAAATAGGTAAAACGGATGCATATTTAAAAATGTTTATAATTTTGTAACTTCAATGCAAGAGTGTGATGAATTTATTTAGCTTAATATCAAATAATACAGTAAGTTTCATTTGTTATGATTTAAAATTTTTATCATTACTAAATAAAACTTAGAAGTTTATAAGATGCACTAAGGGAATACAATTACAGTTAGTGTCAAACCTCTTATTCAAGCAAGTGTTTGCATCTGTCTTAAAGTGATTTTTTTAATTGTTAGATAAAATAAAAGTGCTGATATATGTTATAGAATGTGAGTTAGTAAAGAAAACTTTGTCCCTCAAAATGGCTTAGAAAGCCACCACAACCTTGCTGCTTCAATGATAAAAAATTATCTCCAATTGTTTCCCTAGATGCCTGTACTTGAGTGGTGTCCATTAGGGTGGAGAGGACAGGTGTCAAGTCCTTAAGATAGGGTGGGGAGGACAGGGGTCATGTCCTTAAGATACGGTGGGGAGGACAGGGGTCATGTCCTTAAGATAGGGTGGGGAGGACAGGGGTCATGTCCTTAAGAAAGGGTGGGGAGAACAGGGGTCGTGTCCTTAAGATAGGGTGGGGAGGACAGGGGTCATGTCCTTAAGATAGGGTGGGGAGGACAGGGGTCATGTCCTTAAGAAAGGGTGGGGAGAACAGGGGTCATGTCCTTAAGATAGGGTGGGGAGGACAGGGGTCATGTCCTTAAGAAAGGGTGGGGAGGACAGGGTTCATGTCATAAAGAAAGGGTGGGGAGGACAGGTGTCAAGTCCTTAAGATAGGGTGGGGAGGACAGGGGTCATGTCCTTAAGATAGGGTGGGGAGGACAGGGGTCATGTCTTAAAGAAAGGGTGGGGAGGACAGGGGTCATGTCCTTAAGATAGGGTGGGGAGGACAGGGGTCATGTCCTTAAGATAGGGTGGGGAGGACAGGGGTCATGTCATAAAGAAAGGGTGGGGAGGACAGGGGTCATGTCCTTAAGATAGGGTGGGGAGGACAGGGGTCATGTCCTTAAGATAGGGTGGGGAGGACAGGGGTCATGTCCTTAAGATAGGGTGGGGAGGACAGGGGTCATGTCCTTAAGAAAGGGTGGGGAGGACAGGGATTGTGTCCTTAAGATATAGTGGGAGGACAGGGGTCATGTCCTTAAGATATGGGGGCAGGACAGGGGTCATGTCCTTAAGATATGGGGGCAGGACAAGGGTCATGTCCTTAAGATAGGGTGGGGAGGACAGGGGTTGTGTCCAGAGATACAGTGGAGAGGACTGGGGTCATATCCTTAAGAAAGATACAATGGGGAGGACAGGGGTTAATGTTTCTAGAAGATCAGATGACAGGAGTCAAAAATCTTCAGGAAAGGGTGGATATGGGGGTCATCCATTAGGAGATGGGGTCTATGGCGGTCAAATCCACCAGGGGAAAGGACTGGGCTTAACCAGGGGCAACAAGAAAACCTATCTAAATAGATGAGGTGCTGTGTCAATTTGCTATAGCTATATAAAATAAAACACAGACAATGACAGCCCTTTTGAATTAACCCATGCACACGACCAGGTGTGACATGTTGTAGCTGAGGGCCCTGCTGGACATGAGTGGGTTGATAGATGAGGGATACACAAGCTGTACATAGTGGGGTGGCTCAGGGTGCTGCATTGATTTTACATACAGTACAATGCATAGAAATCAATGGAATGAGTCAGAAATAAGCCTACACATGAGCAAACAGCTGGGTCATTTAACCAGGTGGAAAAACATTTGAAATTCAGAACATAATTTTCCAGCTACTTGAAAGTGGGTCGAGTAATATTATTGAAATTTTTAACAACAAAAAATTGCCTGTTCTCTACTGTATTCTACAGCTGACCAAGTTATGAATTATTTTTATGTATGTCTATATTTATAGTTTATAAAAAGAAGGGTTTAAAAAAAAAACATACGTTTTATAATTAACAAAGAAACAATCCATTTAATATAACACTTAAATACAGCATTTCAAAAAAGTCTCACTTTTGAAATATCAGTGGCTATGAATTTTAAAAATATCCAATATGATTATTCCCATTTTAAAAATATAACAACACATGTAAGCTGTACCTCAGCGATCAAACATTTGCAATGGAGCCAGGGGACTCAAAAATAGCTAGTAAAGTCAAAATAACAAGACACATTATGAAAGCCAGGCTTGACGTTAGCAAAAAGCATCAGGAGAACAGCCAAGTCATGCCATACATGACATACTGAGCCAACAAATGGGACACTATTTTCAAAGCAAACGATTTCCTATATTTAAAATTAAGAAAAAAAATATTCTTTATTTAGCAACAGCTTACCAAAGCAGAAAAATATATTAAAAAAAAAAAAAAGCACACAAATGCAGCCACACTACTTGAGCACATTTCATTTATTTCCTTATAAACACCAGAGTCTTGAAGCTTTCTTAAAATAGTTTTGTAATTATAACTTCGGTAAATGACAAAATAAAAAATATATCCATTCCCATCAAATATCACTAAAACTGACCTTAGTATTCAGATTAATAAAATTATTTGGCGTTGGCAAAAAAAAAGCTTTTAGTAACAAATCAAAACACGGCAAAACAAGTTATCCTAAAATGGTTTAGTGTTTGGTTGAACAAAAATAAACCTGGAAAACCTGAAATGTTTTAGTGTTTGGTAAAAACAAAAAAATCTGAAGGGGGGTGGGTTATGGAGTAACAGAAGTCCAGGCACCATGCAGCAGGCGGTGAGAGAACAAAATGTTTTCATGAGACCCCCCTACCTCTGGCCTGGAAGGCAACTTTATACCCTGTCTCACCATCAGTGGTCTCACCCTTAGCACTGCCCCCACTGACGCTGCCGTCCCAGGAGGTCTTCATGTCCACCACACTCAGGTCTTGCGTCTGTGGCGTGGAGGGCGCGGACGAGCGTTTGGGTGCCGTCCTTCTAGGGGTAGACTCAGCACTGCTGTCAAAAGATATGGTCCTGTTGCCATCACCCCCTCCATCATCACCTGCAGTGTGTAAGAAATCAGCGTGTAGACTGGTACACCACAATGAACTTTATATATTAATTTTAAGACAATATGATTATTTGAACTTAATGAAAAAGACACAAAAATAAAAATGTGTAGATAAAAACGTTGTAAAAACTTTGACAAACCTACAAATAGCTTGACCAATACCTTTGTTACCAGTATTTAAATTAGAGAAAAATAAAAATAAATGTAGAAGATATTCACCTTTCAGATGTCGGGGTGATGCTTCCGATGATGAAGATGGAGCACCATCACCATCCCCATCCATTTTAACCCGTTTGGACAATGAGCTAGCTAGAGGTGTGTCGGATACCTTTGAGTTCTTGGAGGATTCAGAGCTGGCATGTTTACCTGTGCTTGTGTCATTGTCTGAGACTGGAAAAAAGGAAAGGCAAACGGGTCATTTTTAGCACAGTTGAAGAACAAAGAATGTTATATGTGAAATATTCATAGATGCACTGTCTACCAGATGTATATTAGTTTCAGTACTTGTTATATTCCATCCATTTATACAGCAGTGGTTTACCTTATTATGCTCCCAGTTATAAAAAACTATAGAAATACTCAGCAACTAGAATATGTGACATGGGATAGGAATAGAGGTGGGGCGGGGTAGAGAACACAGAGGTAAAATAAAGACTCCAGGTTTTTAACTTTAAAAGCATGCTCAGCTTTAATGGGTACTGGCCTAATTTTTTTAATTAGGGGCTGCTAGAGATTGTGAAGGTGATGTTCCTGAGATAACCAGGGCAACTCTTCTGCACCTGCCCTATGCACTTGTGCATGTACAAAAAAAAATTCTTTTTAAAAAAAAATGTTGACCTTTTAGGCTTGATCATGTTTTCAATTATTTCAAGCATTCATTGAAAACGCCATAAAGTGTAACAGCCCATCTGGTTGTAAGAAACCATTTGGCTAGTTTCACAAGGAATGTATTAAAGCAAAGATAAGAAGCGCTAAGCCAGTGGGTGGTGCTACTACACAAACTATTAGAGCTATATCTACACACTGTACTGTACATATGATACTCGGCTACATTCTTGGCCTATACATGGGAGGTAAGCCTCCGGTAACATGACTAAATAATAAACAACTCTCTTATATGGTGTCCTCCTAGATGACACACGCTGTAATAAGACTATATTAACATGATACAAACGTGTACAATGCTCATGTTTATCCCTCGTTGTCATTCTAATGCAAGGAGGTCAAAGTTCACATTTTTATGCACACGTGACATAATGTATTTTAGTTGGGGGGGGGGGAGTATTTTTTTAACACTTCTTTTAATTTTATTGAAATAAAGAATGTGAGAACAGATTCTGATACAAATTATTGTAAAGAGATTAACCATCCACTGTATCATAAAGACACCACACCGAGTAAATACGAACAGAAACATGAGTAGCGGCATGAAGTAAAACACGTGACCAGCACAATGCCGGTCTCTCCACCTCCTCCCCCGCCCTCCCACCACAACAAGCCACCCCTAAAGGTTACTAGACGGCCGAATCATGACAAAGCCTCGGATGACTCAAAGTAACGTTGCCTATCCCGTCGCCCTCACACTCGCGACACACACACACATTAACACATCTTATGACCAAAGAAACAAGAAAATGAGGGGAGGGACCAATATTTTGCTTTTTAAGGAGCAATCGTGCCTTGTGAGTGGATGCGATAAAATTAGTTAAACTTCAATTTATAGGGCACTAAAGTTTAGTGGCAGTTATCAATGTTTAAAAAAAAATTCAATTTCATCAACCACTAAACTACGCGTTAGGTATGCGCCGTATAAAGACTCTAGAGTAGGACTCTATTAAACAACCGGCGAGACGGAGGGCGTCTGTGTGTGCAGCCACTCAAGATCAAGGTGTTTTTTTAACACAGCTGTAGTCACAGCCAAGGGGAGAAACTGCCCACACTGCAAACATGCGCTATAGTGGAACTTGACTGACTCGTCGCGGCATTCAAACATCACCTGATGTCTGGTCCCAGTACTCAAACATCACCTGATGTCTGGTCCTAGTAAACATCACATGATGTCTGGTCCCAGTACTCAAACATCACATGATGTCTGGTCCTAGTAAACATCACATGATGTCTGGTCCCAGTACTCAAACATCACCTGATGTCTGGTCCCAGTACTCAAACATCACATGATGTCTGGTCCCAGTACTCAAACATCACATGATGTCTGGTCCCAGCACTCAAACATCACCTGATGTCTGGTCCTAGTAAACATCACATGATGTCTGGTCCCAGTACTCAAACATCACCTGATGTCTGGTCCTAGTAAACATCACATGATGTCTGGTCCCAGTACTCAAATATCACATGATGTCTGGTCCCAGTACTCGAACATCACATGATGTCTGGTCCCAGTACTCAAACATCACCTGATGTCTGGTCCTAGTAAACATCACATGATGTCTGGTCCCAGTACTCAAACATCACATGTCTGGTCCCAGTACTCAAACATCACATGATGTCTGGTCCCAGTAAACACCACCTGATGTCTGGTCCCAGTACTCAAACATCACCTGATGTCTGGTCCTAGTAAACATCACATGATGTCTGGTCCCAGTACTCAAACATCACATGATGTCTGGTCCTAGTAAACATCACATGATGTCTGGTCCCAGTACTCAAACATCACCTGATGTCTGGTCCCAGTACTCAAACATCACATGATGTCTGGTCCCAGTACTCAAACATCACATGATGTCTGGTCCCAGTACTCAAACATCACCTGATGTCTGGTCCTAGTAAACATCACATGATGTCTGGTCCCAGTACTCAAACATCACCTGATGTCTGGTCCTAGTAAACATCACATGATGTCTGGTCCCAGTACTCAAATATCACATGATGTCTGGTCCCAGTACTCGAACATCACATGATGTCTGGTCCCAGTACTCAAACATCACCTGATGTCTGGTCCTAGTAAACATCACATGATGTCTGGTCCCAGTACTCAAACATCACATGATGTCTGGTCCCAGTACTCAAACATCACATGATGTCTGGTCCCAGTAAACATCACCTGATGTCTGGTCCCAGTACTCAAATATCACCTGATGTCTGGTCCTAGTAAACATCACATGATGTCTGGTCCCAGTAAACATCACCTGATGTCTGGTCCCAGTAAACATCACCTGATGTCTGGTCCCAGTACTCAAACATCACCCGATGTCTGGTCCCAGTACTCAAACATCACATGATGTCTGGTCCCAGTAAACATCACCTGATGTCTGGTCCCAGTACTCAAACATCACCTGATGTCTGGTCCCAGTACTCAAACATCACCTGGTGTCTGGTCCCAGTAAACATCACCTGATGTCTGGTCCCAGTACTCAAACATCACATGATGTCTGGTCCCAGTACTCAAACATCACCTGATGTCTGGTCCCAGTACTCAAACATCACATGATGTCTGGTCCCAGTACTCAAACATCACCTGGTGTCTGGTCCCAGTAAACATCACCTGGTGTCTGGTCCCAGTAAAGATCACCTGGTGTCTGGTCCCAGTAAACATCACATGATGTCTGGTCCCAGTACTCAAACATCACTTGATGTCTGGTCCCAGTAAACATCACCTGATGTCTGGTCCCAGTAAACATCACTTGATGTCTGGTCCCAGTAAACATTCCCTGATGTCTGGTCCCAGTACTCAAACATCACCTGATGTCTGGTCCCAGTACTCAAACATCACATGATGTCTGGTCCCAGTACTCAAACATCACCTGATGTCTGGTCCCAGTACTCAAACATCACTTGATGTCTGGTCCCAGTACTCAAACATCACCTGATGTCTGGTCCCAGTACTGAAACATCACCTGATGTCTGGTCCCAGTAAACATCACCTGATGTCTGGTCTCAGTACTCAAACATCACCTGATGTCTGGTCCCAGTACTCAAACATCACCTGATGTCTGGTCCCAGTACTCAAACATCACATGATGTCTGGTCCCAGTAAACATCACCCGATGTCTGGTCCCAGTAAACATCACCTGATGTCTGGTCCGAGTAAACATCACATGATGTCTGGTCTCAGTACTCAAACATCACTTGATGTCTGGTCCCAGTACTCAAACATCACCTGATGTCTGGTCCCAGTAAACATCACCTGATGTCTGGTCTCACTACACATCACCTGATGTCTTGTCCCAGTACTCAAACATCACCTGATGTCTGGTCCCAGTACTCAAACATCACCTGATGTCTGGTCCCAGTAAACATCACCTGATGTCTGGTCCCAGTAAACATCACATGATGTCTGGTCTCAGTACTCAAACATCACTTGATGTCTGGTCCCAGTACTCAAACATCACCTGATGTCTGGTCCCAGTACTGAAACATCACCTGATGTCTGGTCTCAGTACTCAAACATCACCTGATGTCTGGTCCCAGTACTCAAACATCACCTGATGTCTGGTCCCAGTACTCAAACATCGCTTGATGCTAGTGTCTAGTTCTGTAGGTGATTGTCTAGTCCAGGGGTCTCCAAACTACGGCCCGCGGGCCAGATGCGGCCCGCGGGGTCCTCTCATCCGGCCCGCGGCGATCTTTTTGTCCACGGAATAAATGTTTGTTAGAGGTGGCCGAGAGACTATGACCAGAAAATTCAAAATAATTTGAAAATGTAGCTTTGAGTGCAAATACCATTGCCCGCCGTGTTACAGACATAGGTGAAAACAGCGTGACACAAATAGTGAAAAATGCAAGCAAGTTTCTCAATTTTTTAATTGTAATGGATCAGTCGCTGGACAGCTGTTCCACCTCTCAAATGCTTATGTTGATTAGAGGTGTGGATGAAGACATGAACAGAACACAAGAGCTGGCTTCCCTGCATGGAATGTATGGCACTGTTACCGGAAAGAATATAGATAGTTCAGAGACAGTTCAAAGATGAACTGCAGCTGGAGGTCATTAGAGACACATTCAAAGAAGGGCGGGTGGGTTTTTAAAAGTTTTTGCAAAAGGAGGATTTTCCTAATATTAAAACTTTTGCATCAAAGTACCTTTCAATTTTTTGAACAAGATACCTGTGTGAACAAACACTTTCAAGAATGAAATACGTGAAGAATAATTTGAGAGCAAACTTGGACCTCGAGTGTGTTGTTGGCCACCGACAGTGTTTCATTCAGACTTTTTGTTCTCCGGGGGGGGGGGGGCAATTGAAATTGGTATATATTTATATATAAATTATATTTCGTTAAGGGGGGATGGGGGGGTGGGAAGGTACACGTTTTTCGGGGGGGGGCGCTTGAAGAAACTCTGGCCCCCGAACTGATATTTGATAGTTAATTCGGCCCTTGGGCTGAAAAGTTTGGAGACCCCTGGTCTAGTCCACTAGCTTGCGATGACGACGGATGAAGATAAACCAAAAAGACAAAGACCAAAACTAACAGTACTGATTTTAAAACGATGAAGTCAGCCTTTTTAATCTCCATTGATTAGGTGGCCGATATCGATAAAATGTATCGATTAACAGAGGCACACACACACACAAGAAGAAATCTAACGCTTGGAAGTTTTGATGAGCACGTGTTATGTCAATGGTAAATAACCAGGTTAACGCCAGTTGTTTTTTTAGATCCTAGAATAGAACACACTGCTTGCATAGTTGCAGAGAGTGCGGTGTGATTGGGAGTTGATGCGGCTAATAAGGAGGTCAGTATATTAAATCATTTCTCATCGTTACGTTCTTTATATGGGCTCGAGTCAAAAGGACGTCATTGAGCACCGTACCTGATGCAAGTAAGAAACTGGGCACAGAACTGACCACACTATCCCCCCATATGCCGGGGGGTCACGGAAACAGGTGTACTCTACCTCGGCTGTCATACTGACCGCCAAGTCCGAAGGTGTTTTCTTAAGTTCTTTATATCACCCATTTGGATGTATTTTAGTGTGACATACACAGTTAGACTGTAGCATGGTGACAAAAAGTGGTTACTTAAGATGGTAACACGGCCAAATAGAGTTGGAAGATTAAGGTGGAGTGTGCACACGCTCACTTATTAGAACGCACCAACCCCGGACTAAAAATGTGAGAACAAGTGGTAACGAAATCTAACAGGACCAACACCACACTGATACGGTAGGGCAAAAACATATTGACACACCACCAAATCGACGATGAATAAATCCCGTGGATTAAGTTGTCCTTCTACATAGGTAAGACAGCCCACGGGTAAATGCAATATATTGGACAGCATAACGACCTTATTAAAAAAAAAACAACAGGTGCCCTACATTAGAATAAAACTTCAGATCTACGGTAACTTATTACAGATCTATCCCCGGGGCACACTAGACGGACCCACACAGATGACATCGCTGCATCGATGCACAGTACTATGAACCACGTGACTGTTCAAACTAAAAATAACTTTCTATCATTTAGCACAGTTGTAGTGACTGTAAGTGCTGTAACAATTTGAATGTTCTAGAGGAGTCAATGAGTACGGAGTGTAATTTGGTGTGAACTGTTCAGCAGAGTTATTTGAAGAGATTAGTATTCTTGTAAGAGGTCTGCGTCTAGTCTGATTAAAAAATTACATTGAGTCTGTTGAAAATTCTTTTAAAAAATTAAACACAAACTACTGTATAACCTGTTTTTATTTTGCTGGTATATTTTGCTTTAAATAATTAAATATGCCAGGGCATCGCCGACAGTTTTTACTGCAGCTTATATACATGTATCTCAGTATTACAAACTACACAAAATGAGAAGGTCTACAAAAAAATAAATAAACAACAACTAAAATGTAAAGAGATGCAACCATAACCCGAAATTTTTATTAAGCTGTATCTCTAGTGCAAGTCCTGACATAACTTACGTAAGCGGATAGCTAAACTTTTTTTTTTTTTAAAGATTCATTTTTTAAACATCACCAAGCTTGTTAAAAAGAGTAATTTACCGCTATCCCCCGGCAAGGAGAGAAATAACTCTGACCTTTAAAAAAAAAATCAAATGATGTGAACTGTGAACCATTAACATTAGATACAAGAAAATGCTGCTTCATCAACTTCATGTCACGACCCGAGAAGCAACTATGAGAATTTATTTAGGGAGAAAGGGGAATCAAGGCAAAGATGTATAGGAGGAAATAAAGCAAAAGGCAGGTAAAAGAAAAAAAAACTTGGAGACTGTAACTGAGAGAAATGAAAGCTAAAATCAATAGCTAAGCCGAGTCAAGCTAAAGAACCAAGGCGACTCAGTGTGGTGTGTACAGATCACCTGAGTGGGCAAAAATCGAAAGGAACCCAGAAACTATTGGCCAGTTACTGGGGTAGCCGGCGTAGGGAGTCCAGAGCACTGCTAGTATTGGCAAGTTACTGGGGTAGCCGGTGTAGGGAGTCCAGAGTCCTTCTAGTATAGACAAGTTACTTGGGTAGCTGTTGAGCTATGGAGCCCAGCTAGTATTGACAAGTTACCGGGATAGTTGATGTGGTGGCAAGTCCAGCTAGTAATGGCAAGTTCCTGGGATAGTTGATGTGCTATGGAACACTGCTAGTATAGACAAGTTACTGGGGTAGCTGATGTAGGGAGTCCAGAGCACTGCTAGTATTGGCAAGTTACTGGGGTAGCTGATGAGCTATGGAGCCCAGCTAGTATTGGCAAGTTACCGGGATAGTTGATGTGCTATGGAGCACTGCTAGTATTGACAAGTTACTGGGGTGGCCAGCTAGTATTGGCAAGTTACTGGGTTAGATAAACTAAGCAAAGAAACCTTAGAAATAAACGAGATCTACTGAAGCAATAGACATGAACAATGTCAACTTAAGTGTCAATAGGCGGCCACGAAAGACCAAAAACTATCGATAATCAATGCAACATTTCGCCCCTCCCAACCTTAAAAACAAACCGCCAGGACTTGAGACAAGAAATCTTACGCCACGGTCTAAAAGGTACGCTGTTGTTGTGATCTAACCGGCTTGACGCATTTGTGTAGTTGTACACAGGAAAGTACACACTGTGGAATGGGGGGAGGGGGGTTAAAGGTCAGAATGAAGAGACAGATTTGGCACAAACAAGAGTTGGATACACAATCAGAACTGACCTTACCAGAGCACTGAATGTAGTAGACCGTGGTTTACAGCACATATACAAAGACGTACTACCTTAGCATAGTGATGTGTGAACGTTAACATAAAGGTCATAACTGACCTTATAAGACCACTATCATTAATCCGATGTACAGTGTACACATCAATATATCCGAGTGATGAGCGAACATGTATACAAAGTTACAAGTCACAACTGACCTTACAAGACCATCATGTATTAACCCGATGTACATTGTACACATCAATATATCCGAGTGATGTGCGACCGTTAGCCCAAAGTTGGAGCACGACTAGCGGACAGAACATTTACCTAGGAAATGGATTATGTTAATCTTACACTGAATATGTAAGCCTAGCAGCGTGGGGATGTGTCATGCACGACAGCTGTGTGAAAAACGTAGCTCCATATAGTTGCAAGTCGAAACACGGCTTCTTTTTATATTATTTCAATTACTAACTAGGCCTATACTATAGGTAGCCTCGCTTATATTGGTAGTATACGAGTTGGAAGCTTAAACGTAGGTTTACATTGTTTGAAGTCAAAACATAGATTGTAATTACTGGTATTGTATATTTAGTAGTATAGACACAATTATTTTTTTAAGTAGGAAAAAAAGCCTACATTTCATGTTATAGTGGAGTTATCACACATATCTTGTCGAGACACCGTTTAACGTAGTTCATCTACACCAATCTCTGTAGCATTATTCACTTTCACACGCCATGTAATACATAGAATCCATTTTTGGAAATAAATCAGGTAATTATCCCACATAAAGAAAAAAAACAGTGCCAGCAACTGTACAACTGAGTGACAACTTCCTCCAGTAAACCGTCGGGCTATTGGATGTTGTCACGTACCACAGCCAGCTTAGGCATCTATCTAGTTTATTATCTGTCACCCACCCCAATGTTGGTTTCTATTTTCAGATGTGCAAATACTTGTCCTATTTTTGTTTTCTACGCTATAAGCTTTGTAGATTTGTCACATCAACGATAACAGGCGACCCATTTCTAGAGTTATCGATGTATACGACACACGGAAATACAACATAACAGTAACTGAGAAGGAAAATATGGGTTCACATCATCATAGGTCCTTGAAATGTGTAAAGAACAGTCACTTATCGAATACAGGCCTTGACGTGCAGAACTCTATTGGTAACATAAAGAACCTTGTGTTTACAGATGCTGATATAGAATCTAGATTAAACATATTAAGAAAAAAACCCAGCGAAATTTTAAAATGTACAAATCGCCAACCTATAACTGATTTAATAAAGGAACAGCGTTAGTTAAAAAGTTTTATCTGGATAGTGTGTGTATAGTCCGGTGAAAAAAAAAATACTGTACCTCCACCGTACACCAGCCAACTTGACTTACTCAGCGAAATTCAAACTCCCCCCGCGTGATGTGTGTCACCGCCACGACATCAGAAAACAAACCCAAATCGTGGGTTAGGATTAGGTTCCCACTTACCTAACCTTACCGCGGTTCACCTAAACAATAAACCAAACGTCCAAGTGAAGAGCACGCGAGTGGTATGTCGGTGATGCGCTGACCTACATTATCTCTATCACAGTATCGATTTTATTAACCTCTAGTGCAGTGTCTGAAAAATTAATACCTGAACAGCCGTGCTTTAAATAGTTGCTATTGATCGTGCCGCTAAAATAAGAACAATCCTTTCAGTAAGTTATAAACCATCACCATTGAAGCGAAGGTGATCCCATAGAGTACAAGTGAAAGAATGCTCATTGAGAAGGTATAAACTGCGAGCGCTTGGCACGAGGGCTAGGCACGTGCTAGCATGTGAGAGCATGCCAGGTCAAGGCGGCTCTGCCGTGAAATCGTCCTGTGACTAAGCGGGATTCCGCTCTGTTCCAATAGTGCGCATGTAGGTGAGCAGTAGAATCTCATTGATTTCATTCGTTTAAAGAAATGTCTATAATCCCGATACACCACAAATACAGTAGTGCAAACTTTAAGTAAGCGACTAGACTAAGCTTCAGGGAAACAGTCAAATACCGCAAATAAATGCTAGAATCAAGGTTGGCATGTTCTTACTGTTGATATAGATGCGTATATTACGGTATACCTTGTTCTTGTAAGCCCCCAGCTGAACCAAAACATTGTGTGAAGATCCTGCGCTAAACCATCCAGCCAACAACATCAGCAATGAAAAAATAACTCGCATTACATTTCTACGCCGTGTTTCATCGATTACTTTGTGTATCCAGGTCAGGAAATGTTTTTTCACTTTGCTGTTCTCTCGGGAGCAGATACTGCCGTCAGACACGCACGCTCAAGACAAGAACCAATGGTCTTAAGTCTAGCTCTCTCATCATTTACTTTATAACAAGTTCCCAAAGTTAACTGGCTCGAAAAACTTTACAATAGAACATTTTACACCACGAACAACGAGGCTCCGAAGTTACTCGCATAACTAAACATCTAACTTACAATCTCAATAAAACACTTTTCACCTTAACGTAACAGTTAACTTTCCACTGCAGCTGGACAGTTCCCGTAACATTCCGTCAAAACACGACCGTTCCCGTAACTTTCCGCCAAGACACGACCATTCCCGTAACTTTCCGCCAAGACACGATAGTTCACGTAACTTTCCGCCAAGACACGATAGTTCCCCTAACTTTCCGCAAGGACACGACCTTTCCCGTAACTGTTTGCCAAGACACGATAGTTCCCGTAACTTTCCGCCAAGACACGATAGTTCCCGTAACTTTCCGCCAAGACACGATAGTTCCCGTAATTTTCCGCCACGACACGACATTTCCCGTAACTTTCCGCCAAGACACGATAGTTCCCGTAACTCCGCCAAGACACGAGTTACCTTGCGCCACTCAAGAAGTACGTCAAGATAAGGACATACGCAACATCAACAGGCCTAACATACCAGATTACAGCCAGCTACACGCACACATACACACACCAAAAAACCTGCACTCATTTGTAACTGTTCGGTGATCGAACGCAACTTTCACTTCCTTACCTCAGATTTCACTGGCATTTGTTCACTATGTAATAGCCCCACCCCTAGCTGCGTGAATGTGGATATAATTGCAGCCACAACAAAAGGCCCTATTCAACCAATGCGAAACATATCAATCATCTAGAGGCTTGCTGTGTAACACAGGAAGGAACTTTATTTTCCCAATAATTTGTTACTGGATTTTTTTCAAGTGGGAGAAAACAAGAAGTTGAATACAACGACTTTGTGTAAAAACAAGTATGAGTGCAATGGCAGTCTATGGGTGCAATGGCAGTCGGGCAGTTATAAGTGCCCAAAAGATAGATTACTTGGTAAAAAGACATAAGTGTGCATATTAGTTGCACCTAAGAATAATAATAAAAAAAGGAAGGGGGGGGGAGCTTGTTCAATAATAATATTTCAAATTGAATTAGTTATTTCTTCTATTGAAATACTTATTACTTATCAGACTATAATATTGAGTCTTGATGATAATCTTGAAGCGTAAACAACAAATCAGATTAAGTGACCTCCTCCCACCCCCTATAACTAACAACGACAGATAAATATGAAAAGATAGTATAAAAGAACCATCTGCACGTACAATGTTTTTTTTTAATAAACGACTTAAATCACGTGAACATTAAAGTGTTGATTTAGCAATGTCAGATACGTTTTGTGCTAGTCAATATTTTATTTGTCTAAGATAAGTGATACACAATTCAACATACATTAAAAAAAAAAAACACGTCATCAAACAAAATAGCCAATACAGCAAAAAAGAACACCACCATTTTAGCAAAAAGAACTCCCGTTGTTTGGTTAGTAATAAAACAGTTACAGGTAAACAAACTATTTTTATAAGTGCATAGAAGAAAAAAAAACTCCGCCAAGATACCATGGATGGACGGTTTTCTAAACATTTGAGTCATGAATAACTAGAGTGACGCCTCATTCACGGGCACGAGTTTCAATCGAAGGATGATAACCGTCTTACTGCGGTCTATGCTCTAGGGGGGAACAAGGTTCAATAGAAAACCTCTCGTCAAATGATGATCCACCATTTCATGTATTCAGCGTTTTAACGCCCATCGGATCGAGTGGTTCTAATTAATGTGTGCAATTATTCATCGACGTTTATTTACCTTCATTACAATCTGTCTGGTGAAGGAAATGAATATGCTTATTTTCGTTAAGTTAAATGAACTACATATGCATCCTTGGGCAATGGTTGTATTGAAGTGGTATAAAAAAGCACGACCGGAAATATAAATAAAAAATAAAGCTTCCCACTAAAAGTGCGAGAATCACCTGAACAAAAAAATAATCTTTTCAAGTTTTAAATTGACCCAAGATCAAAAGACGCATTCCTCCCTCGTCCATTCCCCCCCCCCCCTTCTCTATTTCGCCAAATGATCTTCTACGCGAGACTACAAAGTGAGAAGGCCCTGGACCAAATCTACCTGATAAATTGAGAAGCAAACAATCAGAGTTCACCTGGGCCAGGTAACAGAAATTCCCGTGTCTCCAGATGGTGAGCAGCTTCCACAAGTGTAAAAAAAAAAAAGGTTGGCTCGTGCTAAAAATAGAACCTGACTCAATATCAATCCACGCTGAGACGGGAGTAGATCCGACAGGGCGTTGCTTGTGTTAATATTGTATACAGGGGCTTGGGGCCAACATTGGCCGCGGCGAAGTTCTACTGTAATTACAAACTGATCTACAAAGTTGCGGGCTCCAATGTGCATAACTCCTGGTGCATAACTAACGACAACTGAGGGATGTTTAGTGAACTATTAACGCTGCATTGAAGCAGAGATAGACGCACATTTCCACAGACTAAACAACAAACACACAGACGTATTACCCGTCCGCCCGGCACGATCGATTAGCTAATATTTACACACGTTGATTCGGTTACTTTATTCATACGGCAGACACCAGCTTACGGCGATTGATAACACTGGATAACGTCTAGCTGCGATACCAACACGACCCGGAGACAACATCCCACAGGAAACAACGGCTGTATGTATGTCACGTGTGTGCCGCTTTGATAGTCCGGAACAAGCATCCGTCGACTGTGTTTTCTCCCCCATTCACAAAAGGTGCACACGGTAACAAGCTTGTTAAAACACAACCACAAAGAAACTCAACTGATTCAGGTGTTAAATTTCACTTCTGTAAGAAAGCCATTGTATTCCTCCTCACGAACAGTAGTGGACTTGTTCAGAGGCGTCGCTAAGGTCAGGTGGGGATGAGACGCGTTATAAATGAGCTAAGACACATTTTAAATAAGGGGAGCCAACTTCGAGACGAATGTGTATCTGCCCCTGGAGACGACGGAGTGAACCCATGTGGAAAGAGTGCACAAAATGCAACACATTATACAGTACATCAACGACTAAAGACCCAAATACCAACAGTGAACATCAGCCGGTTAGCCATGCTCTAGATGCCCGTGTTGTTGTTTGTTAACTTGCAGAATGCGCTCCTAACCAGCTGGATCCTTTAGCCTGCCGCAGGTATTTTATAACCTGGTGGACGGCTATTATTGCGTGAAATGTCAGTGAAACGTATACCTCGCTAGGACAGCTAGACTAGAACACCGCTGGGTGTACTAAGAGATACGTGGTATTTATTTATATACACAGCATTCTTGTCATATCCACATACTATCTACTGGCACAATAAAATTTTTCTAAAGACCTTGTATTCTAAGAAGAGATAAGTGAACATTAGTAAATTTGCTGCAGACTTTCAATGTGCCATGATATAATTCGTCTTGTAAAACTGAAACTATTTACCTGCTGGTATATCCTCACACATTGGTTGGTGGTGGGGGGTGGTGTAAAAAGTAATAACATAAGGAACTCCATATCAAGTTAAGAATTTCACCACAACACTAAAATTAGGTTAAAAAAGATTAGTACCAGATTGGGGAAATAATACACCAGAAAACAAGGAAATAAAGATAAGATTCTCACAGAGATGCAATAAGAGTAGGGCACTATGAAACAGAATCATGATACAATGCTGAATTATTCTGACTAAATAAAGTGTTGTGACTTGTGTCCTTTAGCCAACAGCTTACACCCAATACAACTAAAACAGTAGCACGTTGTATAAAACACAACAAATACATATCAGATCACAGCAGAAGGAGACTGAAAATATAAATAACTTCCTCAAGTAATAGAATAGGTTGAGAACAACTGTTACCTCTCTGGTGTACAACTTCACATTTCTACTTCGCTTTAAACTTTAGGCTAACTTTGGTTCACTATGAGCTAAAACCTATAATCCTAACCCCAGATTGAGCTAGCACAATGTCCTATTACAAGCACACCCTTACATTCCCAGACAGCAAGGACTAGGAAGGTGTAATTAAAGCTGAGCGCTGAAATACCATTCAATTATTCTTTGACGGCTGAGCCAGGGCTAATTGAACACAGTTCTAAAAATAATGAGCCAATGGCTAACAATAATAGCCAAGTTT